AAAATTTTTCATACTCAGGTTCATGCTTCATTTGGGGCTGCTGACTATCACACGATTGTTGAATTAGCTCATTAATGCCCATTTCAATATCGTCCGGGTGGTTCATTTTTGCAAATGCAATCATTTCAGGTTCGATGGGGAATAAATTTTCTGCTTCTTTCAGAGTCAGAATTGAAAATTTCCCAATTTCGGTTTTGAAAAGCAAAGTAATGTGATGATCGGTGATGTTAAACGCTGTGATATACAACAGGTTGTTTTTCAGCACTTCGCTTATTGAAGAAGTGAACGCAATTTCAGTTTTCTTCAAATTCCTGAGCTGGAATCACGATTCCGGTAGTTTTTTCCATGTCTTGACATGTGTTCTCTAGCTGGCATTCTACAAGAATTGTCTGATGCGGGGCTATTGTTTGACGTTTTGTCAGAAGCAAAGGGAATTTTTTCACTCCATTGACTCTTCTTGGCTCGTTTGGAGGTTTTATTTCGTTGATTTGAAGGGTCATATCTTTGAAATGCAGTAGATTATACTTCGGACAGACATGAATATGATGTTTTTTATAGAAAGGATTTCCTAGAATTATTGAATTGGCTGCATGAAGAACGAGAAATGATTCTATCAAGGTCATGTCTGCCAATCGGAATTCTAACGTTACTTCAGTTTCAATGGAGACTTGTTGTCCTCCTGCCATTCTAACTCTCTTCAGTTTGGGTTCATTTACTTCAAGAGGGCGAAATAGCGATTTTTCTTCTTTTAGGTCTTCAAATGTCTGTTTTGAGATAACATTTGCGCAGGCTCCTGTATCGACCAGGGCTCTACGTTGTAATCCCGATGAGAAACGTATTTTCGTGTACGTCAGTACTGTTCCTTCCGCAGGGATTATTGCGTAGAGGCTAAGTATCTCATCAGGTTGGAAAAGTTCGTTAGGTGATGATTTAGGTGATTTCGATGATTTAGGGGGCTGACTCAGTGGCTTTATTAGTTTTTTGGCTCGTTTGGAAACGGGAAGTTTTGTCCGCGTCCTTGTGGTTTCTGTCGCCATCAGCATTGACTTGCTGTGTGGTTAAATTTTCCACAAACGTCACAAAATTTGGCTGATGATCGCACCATTGGTCCAAAAGGTCCGTTGGGATTTTGCGTTTCAGCTTGAGGCATTTGTTTAGCGACAAATTGTTGCGTCGGATATTTCTGGGACTGTTGAAATTGTGCTGATGGATGCATTTGAACCATTGGCTGTTGATTTTGGTACATGTTTGGGTACTGCTGATTTTGAGGGTACAATTGCGAATATGGCTGTTGTGCAACTGGTGGCATATTGTGAAAGTTTGGCTGAGTATTGTTGAAATCAAATTTATTTTGCCAATTATTTCTACGTCTTCCGCCTCTGTTGCCTCGTTGTTGTCCATACCCATTATTTTGGTTTGGCTGATAGCCACTATACTGATCACTCTGACTGTTGTTGTTCCGATTTTGTTCGGGAAGCGGATTCGATTGTTTATTCGACTGCTCAGTTATTTGTGATCTCATTTCGTTAAGCTGCTTCTCCATTTTTTCCTGATTTGTGGAAAATTTTGTGATAGCGCTTATTAAATTTTCTGAGACTTTGTCGTTTACTTCGTTGAATCCGTCTTCCGGGTAATCGTCTTTTCGGCAAATCTCACGAATTGTGATTTGCTTCTTGGTCAGGTTGCACAGTTCCTGAACTGTAGTTGCAGGTGGTTGTTCCATCAGCTTTGATCTCAGCCAACCTGGCATTCCTTTAATGAACAGTCGTTTAATTTGTTCATTTCGGTTGTCATGTACAGCATCTATCCTTTCTTGCCTTTAAGCAGTTTCTCGGTGGAATCGTGCTGCTTCTGCTGCTGCAGGTGCTCCAATTATTGCAGGATCAATTGGGGCGACAGCTGGCAAATCTGGTGTCGGATACGCTCGCTGCGCTTTTTTCGTTAAGTTGACCAAGAAATTCTCTGGGGTATCTGTTTTCGGGTTGAATCGCAGTTGTTCTAAATTCAAAACGTGGATTTCTTGAAGTTGGGGGTTGCAAAAGTGATCCCTCAGGGCTATGAGACTCGCGGGAACGTTCGCTCGAGTTGCTGGTCCTAGTGTCTGGTAGAATCGCAGCGCGTTGTCTCGTAGGTGCAGTTGCAAGAAGTTCGCTTGTTGTGCGTTTGGTATCGCTGCTACTCCGATGTAGCCTTGAAAAAGTTGCTCGAATTCTGAAAAGTCTTCTTTTTCCGTTCCTCCATAAGGTTGGACCGAAACTTGCGCGTGTGCCATCGTATTACAATCGAATGAATATCAGGGTGATACAGTTGATGATAAGATACAGCACTTATTCAATTTAGGGGGAACACTAGGGAGTTTGTTATATAAATTAGCTGTTAACGAAGGCTAGCAGTATCACTGATCAGGTTTATTGATGCAATTATATGGTTGTGCTAAAGGTTCCGTTACTTCACTTCTATGGTGGGGAAACTTAATGACAATTATATCAATTAACTGCAGGTTTGAGTTTTGAGTTTGTTTTTAACTGTTTTGTTGATTGTTGAAAAACCTGTAGATCTGCTTTCTTTGTCTGCCTTGTCAGTAGCTCAGCTGTCCTGCCTTCTGACTGGAACAAGAAGTAGTGATGTTGTAGGTCACAATCCACATCTGCTTCTGTAGATTGGAGAGACTTTCCGCCCGGAGATGTTGAGAAGTTGAGACTGTCTTCTTTTTCTCCCTGTCTGTCTCAGTTGTTCGCTGAAAGTTGCTCTGTTTTCCACATCTGAGCGTTGCTGGGTGAAACGGGTTGTGTTGCCCTGTTCTGTTTCAGCAAAGTGCGGTTGTCGTTGTCCGCTCGTGTGATGAAGATTGCAATTGCCGATGACTTTTGGTGATTCCAGAAGTAGAATCTTCCGCGACAGTCACCATGTGATATAGTGTCCCTTCGGATGGCTGTGGACAGCTATATCGTCATTTATTGATAATGTTGTAAGCTGTTCGAATATTAATTAGCGCTACTGGCTATCAATTGTTATTGATTGTTTCCATAATTTATGTCTCGAGCGGTTAAGACTTATCTTGCTTTAAGGACGCAGGATTCGGTTCTTAACTTCTGGAATATCGCTAGTCGATCGGCGCAAGTTAGAGCATGATTCTAATATTTTATTCTTTTCAAGTCTACCCAATTGATTAGTAGCTCGGTATAAATCTCCAATGATTGGTCTTAATTACCATCAATGTTTACATAGTTAAGTAAATATATGATGCAGCTCTATTTTAACATCAAGGTGAATTATGTAATCTATTAAGTTAGAATGGCTAATATAGAATGAATGACATCATGAAGGGATGTCACAGTCGACCTGTTTCTTCTTTGACCAATATGATTTTCCGAGCTCTCCCAAAACACTATACAGACCATATCTTGGCCAAATTTTCTGCCCCACAGACGAATTTTTGAAGAAAAAAAACAGGTCAAACGGAGTTTTTAGACACTTTATGAAAAGTTTTGACCAAAAAATTGCGTTTGTCGAAGCACTCTTCCCCTCAAAAAAGTATATATTGGCGCCCAATGCGCCTTTAGAAAAAATGTAGTGTCGGTCAGCCAACAATGGATGTCTTAAAAGAGTACCAATGGGAGACCCGCTAAATCCGCTCCATTGCAGGAAGAAGCGTGTACTCTCATACAAGCATCTTAGATAACTATTTGAACGAACAAAACCAACTAGAGAACTCGAATCTTTGAGATCTCGAGTCCCAGAACACGCTATTTTCAGAAATTGTTAAGCGAGCAAAAAAATTTTTTGATAATATCTCCAACTTAGCCGAGGAAAATTATTTTAGAAGACATTTTTTTGGGCCGAAAAATGTTTATCCGTCGCACACATCAAGTAAACTGTGCTTGCTTAAATTTTGTAATAGCAGGCAAGTTGAAATTTTAAGAAAGCACTAATACGAATAAATAAAACTCGAAAACTTTCTTTTTGCTCTTGGGACACATTATTTTTCAAATCACTTTATTTCGTAAAAGACCCCCTCACGCAAGTAAAAATCACGACAATTGTTCTCGCAAGTGTAAAAACCTATCAACTCAGATTAAACTAGGATCTATAGATTCTTAAACAAATTGAGTTGATATTGAAGCATCTGAAAAAACGATTCGCCCACAGACAATTATCGAGTTCCGAAGACAAAAATAAGTCCACACTTTAGAGCTCTACGAATTTCATGATCCTTTCATGAGTGACACTTTTTGACAAAACGCATCCAATTTGAAAACAGAGGCGAAGCTGTGCTTCGCAAACACTAGCAGAACACATAAAAAAGCAGTTCCTGAACTTGAAAAAAATCAGAAGTCAAACCACGAAAAATCAAATTTTAGCGTGAACAAAAAAACTTTACGTGAATTTTTTGACGATATACAATTGACACTTTCACCCTCTACAACGGTCTCGTTGTCAAAAAATTCTGGAATTTTTATTCCGCTGGGAAATCTAAAAAATTATATCCATACCATAATTGAAAGCAAAAGTAGATCACATTTCTCGTGATCTTTACACTTTTGCCGTTCAATAGTGGAGTTTTAAATTTTAAGACTTTTTCTGGAAAAAAAAACAAAAAAATACCACGACCTACACATAAGTCTTGTCTTCACTACGTTCATCGACTCTTAAAAAGGTTACAGATCGTGTAATGAAAACGTTATTTCACTCATAAGATATCAAATTATTATTTTCTACGGAGACTGCTTGCGCTTTAGTTTGCGCTAGAGACACCAATGGGAAACTTGAACTGCTTTGCATATATATATATATATATATTTTGTTGCGATTCATTTAATGTTTAGATGCTCCGCCCGGTAATTGATATTTTTTTGTTTCGCGAAATACTTTTTTCTGGTTCCGCGAAACATGCTATGGAAAAAACACCCTTAATACCTTTTTTTAGTTGTGCTTAATGCAATGATCCCGAAAGTGTACAGCATACTGCTGCGAGCTATATGCAGCAAACTGAAACTAACTTATCATATTGCTTCCACTACTAGTTCCCAATCCGGTAGACAACGAAGATCCACTCGTAGTTGCACCATCGCCATTTCCCTCGCCCGGGTGCAATCTTTCTTTCTCCAACGCACTTCTGCACCCCCTCAACGCTCTTGTCAACAATGCCACAATATCGCCCCTCACTCCGATTGCCGTCTGTGCTCCCCCTATTGAGGATGATCCACTGGAGTGAAATATCGACACGTGCTGGGAGGCCTCGAATGCGGAGAAAAGAGCGTCTGAGAGAACCCGAAGCCCGTTGGTCTCTTCCAGAAGGTACCGCATGTCTTGTTCGGTTTGAAGAAGGAGTGGAAAAATCCTGTTAAAATTAAATTTCCAGGAACATTTTATCATTGGTTTCAGCTAAAAATGCTGTTTTTGTGACTTCAAAACAATCAACAAGCAATAATGAAAAAACGATTCCTTGAAGTCAATGAAGGATGATTAAAACACTAAAAGTCATAGCGTGTTTTCAAGATAATTCTTTTGGCGATCAAGCTTTTTTGGCATATTTTTACACATAAAATTATCGATATTAATACGAAATTGTGTTACCTGGGAACAGTCATGAAGAGTCCTCGTTTACTCAAGCATTTCGTGAACGAGAAAATTAATTTCTTCTTGAAAGCCTTCACCTCTTTGATATCCGCCGCACTCAACTGACTTCCGCCGCTCGGCGAGGCCGCCGACTCCTCTTTTGCATAATCCAATAAAATTTCTACAATTTTCAGCAACTCATTTGAGGCCTTCGTGTATAGATTGTAGTAGGGGAAGACGTTTTCAAGTGCCCACAAGAAGTTGTCGTGTTGCATGAAGACGAATGCGAAGTGAGCCGAAGCCGAGCAGCAGATGCGAAGAAGACCGAAGAAACTGTGCAGACACTGTTTATTGAAAGCGACCAAATCTCGCTCATCGTGATTCACTCTAAAACAAACACAATCAGCATTGAAGAAAAAAAACATTTGAAAGTTGTTTCCAATTTTTTTTTTACAAAGAATAATTTTCACAAGACGTGCGAGACACTTAATAAATTAGCACGAAAACGCACAAAATGATTTGAATCAACTTGAAAACAAAACTAATAATTTATTAAGATTTAACTACATATTACAATACAAAATATTTTTTACGCTGTTTCAATTCAATCCCAATCCAAATATTTTCATTTCAGTTCATAAAAATCTACTAGCTAATCCTCAACTGGCACAAAGCACTAATGCTTAGTCATAAAGTAAAAAGTTACGCCCGATCGTCCAAAAGAAACGCATGAGAGAAACGAGTCAATGACTATATTTCACATTTTTGTAATGTACAAAGTGTTGACAATATGCTGCCATTCCTTCCACACACAAAGATTTGCTGTACAACTGGGGGGACTTTAAAAAGTTAGAAGTGGAACGCTACAATCCGAGAAGAGAACCGAAGCTTCGAAATTCGAACTACAGTGATTAAATTTTTATATCATTACACGGTTAACTTACAGGATATAGTTGAAGAAGATGTTTTTCAATACCACTTTGTTTGAGACTGTGATCTGTACATTCTGGGGACAATCCACACAAACCCAGTGCCAGTAAAACAAAAGTGCCTGCTTGTTCACACAGTTCTCCACCTACAAAAGTTAGAAAAGTAAAGCCAACATGCAGTTGGAAAAGCATTGAGCTCAGAAAAACTAACAATTTTGAAGATGCAGTTTATCGACTTCGAGTTTTATAGTTCCAATAAAGAAGCAATTAAGGCTCATTAAAAATGGGGCTCTTTTTTCCTATCCCCCACTTGCGATTTTTACAATTAAAATTATTGTTAGGTTTATCCGATTGTTCTGAAGTGACATGCGGACTAACTAAGCCATGGCAGACATCATTGTTCTTCATACATAACCTTGTAAAACCACTCGCTACACCATAAAATAGATGATCATGCCACGTGGGGGAAATAAAAAGAGCCAAAAGTGGATATAGCTCTAACTGTTTAACAAAAAGACAACTTGCACTTCGCAAATATAACGAAGAAACGGCAAAAACAATCTCTAAAAATGACAACGGAAAAAAGAAAGACAGAAATATGTCAAGAACAAAGCAATTTGACAATAGGATAAGATTAATCAGTAGTTGTGCAAGAAGCACAGAATAATCCAATCACTGTAATCTAAGGGAAGCAATAAAACAAAGACCTAGACAAAAAATCCCATTTTTGCAGTCGGTGGCAGGGGTTTAGTTAACACAGAGGCGAAGCTGCGCTTCTCAACCACTAGCGAGAAAACGATTTAAAAAGCAGCTCTATAAAAGAAAAGGTAGAACAAGCCATGAAATAATAAAATTTTCTGTGGCGGATTCGATCCAAGGGCCAGGAGATTTAGAGTCCCCTGTCCTCGCATCTACGCCACGGGCCCTTGACAATTAATTAACACTAGCCACATAGCAGCTATAGACGCTTATGAAATGCGATTGCAATGCAGCAAAAACGGCAGCGAATACAAAAAGACATAGAAAAATGTGAAAGATCACACTATTTTACATGTAATAAATGGAAAGCAGCAAGCCAAATTATGTTTAACTTATGCATTTCAAAAGAAAGCGAATTAAATTTCTAAAATCGAAAAAATTTATGAAATCGAGCAAATTCAGATCACTTTTCTCGACAAGCATTTTTTTGCATTTTTGAAACTGAACCGTAGCCAACAGAGATGGAAAAAAGGAAAGTTTTCAAGAATTTTATGACATTTCCTGAAAAAAAAACATCACTTCGTTCTTTTACGCTTAACCGCGACCTATAGGGCATTAATATAAAACCTAACTTGATCCCCTACAAGTGTTCTTTGAGGTGAACAAAATCGCCAGGAAAACACACCCAACATCATAGTTCCTTCCAGTCACTATCAAAAGTTCGGAGTTCGGAGACTACAGGATTAAAACTCGGACCCTCCGCATTGAGAATCACATACATTCATCGCTGAGTCATGGCTTCTCGAATTAGAGCTGCAATTTTCTTAGGGGATATAACTAGAAGATGCTATTGCACTTATAGTTGCATTGGAATTTTCTATTTGCAATGGAAAACAAGGAAAGCCTCTAGGATAAATCAAGTAAAACCAAGTTTTCTCGGCTTAAATCAAGCATTATTAAGCTTTTGTAAGCCCGCTTAGCCTGACCTTTTTAGCTTGAAATTAGACCAAAAAATCACAAAAAAAAATAAACTGGTTTTCCTCGACACTGAGAAAAAAAAATTTTGAAAGTTTTTTTGTTCAAATCACGACTGAAAGATCAAGACTCAAAATGAGATATCAATTAACCCAGTCTGATGACTATTTGTGGTATTTCGTCCCTTTTTTCAAATGGTCGGAACAAAAACGGCACCAGCAATCTCGTCTTTGCTGTAAGAAATTAAAATGCAAAGTGCAACTTGTTCCGAACAAAAAAAATTAGCTTGAACAAAAACAAGGATCAAATACATCCAATTCACTCCATTTATGCAAGTATCAACATCCTAGATTGCTGTTATCCAAAAGAGCCAGGATGTCTAAAATTGTAAAAACTGGATGGACTATTGTTTTCTCAGCGTTGCTGCTGTTTCAAACCTGTATAGCTTAAAATTTTCAATTGCAGCAATCTTGTTTTTGGCTAAACACGCGTCAACCCAAGTCATGACGCCGGCTTATTATTGAGACAACAAATGACTTGATTTGGGATAATCGGGTCAAAAGGTATTATATGCACTTCTATAATAAGGAAGCGTGGTTAGCTTCCTTTTAGCAAATGAATTTGAATTGAACTTACAAAGAAATCAGAAATCAAACCGCAAAAAAGCATGAACTTTTAAGACTTTTTGCTAAAAAGGAAGCTAACATCGAAAACAAGTTCAAAGATAATTTAAGTTTTTGAATTACAAATTTTCATCGATAAGTTTCAAGTCGGCTTTTACAGCACTATGAGTTCATTTTTACAAACGATTTCACCAAATTGTGGTTTGCGGTAAAATTGCTTCAGTAACAAACCCTAACAACCAGACTAACCTTGCTGTGAATGAGATGAGGATAGAAGACACTCCACAAATGTGGGAAGTGGGGCGTGAACATCTTCTTCTCCAGGGGGGAGAGGGTGAGAGCGGTGAGGACTGTGAAGAAGTACTGGAATCTGTAGGTGCCCATGGACAGAGACGGAAAGTCCTCCAACATGCCCAGTAAGTGCCTCAGGATCTAAGGAGTGCGTTTCATTTTAAGGGATATTAAGGAGCTTTTTTTAAACAGCAACTTAATCAACAATCAATTAGGCCATGCCACCATGAGCTAAATAGCGTTTCTTTTACAGATAACAAAAACAAAATCGGAAAAACAATTGTTAAAAGCCATTCCACCAATAATTATTGTTTTTTTGCAAGTCATTTGATGCTACGACCAGGAAGAGATTTGGAACTACTTTGACCTACTCGGTGCCCAAAACGCAATCATATTTGGTACCATTGTCCAAAAACTAATTCAGTCCGACCATTTGTATGACCCCCATTGTGCGACAACCATTTTTCTGAATGCGCTAATACATACTAAATTTCAGGGGTAGCGCGCACCAACATGTATGGTCAAAAACTTCCAAGAAATGCCTATTAGCTACAGTTTTAATATGCTTCGTTTTGACTGCGGCGCAGAATTTGTCACAATATAGTCGTTTTAGTGTTTTGGTGCGCGCGGAAAACCAGTAATTGAAAAACCTACATTAAAAGAACATACCTTATGGACAACAGTCAAAACTCGCTCCTCGTATTGCACAGTGCCATTCTTATTACTATCTGGCAGACTGAATTTGTCGACACAACTTTTCCAGTAGTTGTACAAGTGACCACTGTCTGGAATCAACATCATCAGCACCTCTGCCGCTTCGAATCTGACTCTGTAATTGTTCTCGGCTATTAGGAACTGTTTCACCCACAAATCTAGATTGTTCAGGGCCCAGTTGACCATGTGTGGAGACCTGGACAAATAAATGAAACCTCGTCATAAAAGAAAAAATACCAAAGTATAGACAACAAAAACAAAATCGGAAAAACAATTGTTAAAAACCATTCCACCAAAAATTATAGTATTTGCTACTGTGATTATTTGGTTGGAAAAGTGTAAATGAACTCAAATAAAATTAACAGTTTCTTTCAACGTTCGAGCATTGATGTCACTTTAAACACAGACGCGAAGCGGAGCTTCGCTTTACTTGCGATGTAACAAAAGCACAGCATTGCAAGCTAATAAATAGACAGTAAGATGAAATAAATAATTTAAAAAAATTGACAAAACCAACACTTTTTTTAGAAACCACGAGAATGGAATCTCGAAAACAGAGGAGAAAAAACCACTAGCATTAAATAAGCTTTTCGTAAAATATTCCGCAGTTAAACCTTCCAACTTTTATACTGCCAACTGACATGACTTGTTCAAAACAAGAAAAATTCTTTTTTTATTATTTAACGATGCAAAATAATTTCACTAAGCTGACAAACAAGAGCCGAAATTATTTACGCCGAATAAGAGTTCTCAGCAAAAAAAAACACAGGGAAGTTAAATTTAAAAAGCTACCGAGGAGTTAATCAACGACACTTGAGACTATAATGAAAGCTGCTTCTAGCGCAAAAAAATGTGGCGTGGAAACTAAGTTGACAAACATAAGCCGTTAAACTATAGTCTGACTATGCTATTTTCCCGAAAAACTTCAGACGCTAAAAAAAAAAGTTGCTGCCGGGACTCAAAACTGAGACCATAGGGAGCAAAGGCAGCCGCATTACCTTCAGGGCAGAGAGAAGGGGCCTTGAAAATTCTAAGAATCGATAATAAAGCAACATCAATTTCAATTTTATATATGTAAAAGTTGTTGACAGAAAAAGTCTGGTTTCCGATTACAAGACACTCGCTGGCTTAAAAGACACTAAAAAGAAGTCTAAATAGACTAAATAATTCATTTCAATTTTTGTGCCTTTAGCTGATGCCGAAAATTTAAAGGAAAACTTAAATGCATGAATTTATTTAAGTTGAAAAAAATTGAAATAAAACAAAGAGACTGCATCATTAACAGGATTTTGTCAACATTCATATGTTTTTCCTTTCATTATGATGCAAATTAGCTAGTAAAAAAATTTCTATTAACAATTCGGAAAAAAGAATGACAAAAAATGGTAAAATCATAAATTATATTTAGATCATTATTATGGGCTTGGAATGAAAAACATAAATAAGTTGATCGGCCATTTCACGACAGTTATAAATTCATGGCGGGGCAAAAGCCCGTTAACCTATGCAACAGACTGTTGGAAATAAGTGTCAATGTCAATGAATTCAAGAAAAACCGGAAAGAATGAATTTTGGATGAAAATCAACCAATCGAAAAAAATAAATGAAAGCTTTTTCATTTTCCAACGAAATTTATGATGAACACTTCTTTCCATGCCACTCAGAATGCTTGAAAATATTTAAACTTGGAATTCATTCACGTTTATTTTTCATGCGTTTATTTTAACGTAAAAAGAAAATCGCGAAAAAGCAACGACCTGAAGAAAACAAAAACGAAGACAAGAAACAACGGGCAAAATTGTATTTGATAACTAGTTCCTGATAAACCAAATACAAACTGTTGTCATCAAAAAATTGAGCTGAAAAGTTTTTACGAGACATCTCTCCTGAAACACAAACTTATACAAAAATTCAACCCTCATACTAGGCAAAATGAGTTGACTTGGCCAATACTACAAAAAAAACAATAAAACCATTCAAAATCAGAGTTGGTATATTGACAAGTTTCAACATCGAATCGTAGCTGCACTTCGCTAACACAAACAAAAAATTGCCAAGAAAAAACAGCTCCAAAAGTGAAACAAGAAAAGGTAGAAACATGCATTGAATAAGAAAACTTTTGCTACGCGTCGGATTCAAACCTCCGACCTCGCGATTATGAGTTTCACCTCCTCGCATCTCCGCCACGGGCTCTTGAAAAACTGCTAACGCTAGCCACCAATGAACCGCCTCCAGATGCTAATAAAATTGCCAAGGCAATGCAGCAAAATTGCAACCAAACAAACAAAATTAGTGCAAAGCGAGGAAATTAATTTCATACCAGTCGATTAGGAGTCTTACGTCCTTTCCTATGAGCACTTGCTACCAATAAAGCAAAAAATAGATGCTATGAAAATTCCAATGCCAGAGATTGTGATTGAAGCAAAAGTTTTGCCAATATTTGCTACTTTCGTTTAAAAAAGTACCTTCAAAGAACGCAAGAAAACAGAGAAAAAACGGTTATATTTTACAAAAAAAATATCAACATTCGAATTTCAAGGAAAAAATAGATGACCGCAAATCGCTTTGAAATTCTGGAACAATTTATGATTGACACTTTTCAATAAAATCAGCCTAATTTGAGAAAATTGGAGCAATAGGTAAAATTTATATTTCGCTGGGAAATTCGACAATTAAATTCTACTTATGAAACTAGACGTCGATCACGTTTTTCGCGACCTTTTACACATTCGCTGTTCGATAGTTGAGTTTGCCTACGTTTTGACAGCGTTCATAGACTCTTAAAAAGCCGTAAGGGTGTCACAAATGGTGTCACCAACATTTGAGACTTAGGTTGGAAAAAAGAATTGTCGTACTATTACACTACGCTAGCTAAAGTTTGCTAGTATAAACAAGAACACCAGCGGATTTGGGGGGGGGGGGGGGGGTGGGGGTGCGGACGTCCCCTTTCAGGGATTCGACCCCCTGCACACCCAAAGGCTGCCATTTTTGGCTGACTGACCCTAAATTTTTTCTAAGAGCGCCTTTGGCGCCATAATATACTAATTTAGAGCGGGGAGATAGCGCCGAAAAACGCGATTTTTTGGTCAACAAAGCGCAGAAAATTTGGTGAAAATGGGGTCTTTATAGTGATTTGGGAGAGCTCAGAAAATCAATTGGTCGACCTAAAAAAAGGTCAAAAATTTCATTTTTTTTGAAAATCCCCCCTAGAGAAAATCCTAGTTCCGCCCCTGAACAAGAAAGACATTTAATCGATATCTGCACGATTTGTACAGCAAAGCTGTACCGTATTTCTTAAATTCATTTTCTGCTAATTTTGACTTCGATTTTGTGCAAAAAAGATAGCGAATAGAAACGTCTAACGACTCTTATTGTAACGACTCTTATTGTGGTTGAAAATTTGTCATCATTCGGTCACTTCATGATGAGAATAGCCCCCAGCTAAGTCATTTTCTGCAAAAAGCCTGGTATCTGGTTGCAATACCCTTGCTTATCACAAAGATAATCATTCAAGTGTCTTTCTTTTATATTAATGCATAACTTAATAGCAACCTGGCGCATTCCTTGATGAGAGTGAGAGTTGGTCTGGGACAAAGAGCCAACAGTCGCGGCATGTACTTGACCATGTGTTGGGTGACTGTGACTCCACTGTTTCCCTGGCTCAGTTGACACTCTACTTTGGCCAGCACTCTCAAGTAGGGCTTCACTGTCTCGGGGGATAACACGCCACTGGATAGGATCAACTCACAGAACCGAACGGGGATCTAAACCGAAACTGTTTGATCATAACCATTTTAACAAATTATGAAGAGGAGTCTTTCATCAGTAGTGATGTATTTCGGTGAGTTGCCCCATTTTTAATTTGAGAACTGAAACTCTTGTTGTTCAAGACTCACAATCAGCCTTTTTTCAGGGTGAAGCTCACATAAAAGGTATCATTACAAGCGTAAAGGGTTTTTACATGATTTTTTAGATTCAGGAAATTTGGTCAATTCCCGTTATAAAACTGACTGAACTAACGGGTCATCAAATATCTAACTTAGGCTATAATGGTTGAGTAATTTGTCTTGATCTAATGACAAGTCTTGATCTAACGATGCATCAATGGACGAAACATTGCAGATTACTCACCAATTCGTAGGGGGTCAAAATTAGCGGCGGGGTGTGGACATTTTTTAAACAAGAAAGGCATTCTTCATTGCGGTGGAGGGGTTCAAAATTATCAGGCTGTTACCGCAAATTTGGATCAATTCTGATCAATATTATGCCAAAATCAAGCAAAAATTTTCTAGAAAAGTGAAATTAGCACAAAATTTCAATGATTTAACCCAGATGACAATTTATTTTGCATTTTAAAGACAATTTTTTCTATTTCGTGCTCTCAAAATTGATAAATTTTCCAAAAACTTTGGATATAAACTTTATGCTATGAAAATTTCCGTGGGCTCCATTCAGACCCCCCCCCCCCTCAAACTTGGAGGAGTTAATATTCTAGGGGGGATGGGGTCAACGAAGAAGTAAATTTGTGCTGCTGGGGGTCCCGACAATTAAGTAGTGCAGTAGTATTAATTAAATCTTACGAAATTTTCGAAATTCTTATCCATCCTGACTAGCATTTGGAGTATCGACGACACACTGTCCAGGTTAATCTCTTCCTCAATTAAAATCTTGAGGAACTCGTAGTTGTTACTAGTTAGAGCACCCATATCAGTCTCAGCCAGACATCTGGCTAGGTCCTGGAAGTCCCTGTTGCTTCCCGATCCACTGGTGGCACCCAATGCACATGATTTGTCCAGCAGAAGTTCAATGAGCTCCACTATGTTGTGAAAAACTGCCGACTTCTTCTTTCCCTGCAATGAAAAAACCCTGCAAATCACGTGATACCACGTGAGACTTTGTCTCACTGCACAATATACCACGTGAGACTCTGTCTCAAAGTTATATCCACATCAGAAAACCGCTCTTTTCAAGTTTCCTCACCTAATAAAATTACTAAATTAAACTAATCAAAACTGTTCACAAGTCATTTTGCATGCAAGAGTAAAATTTTGTTCACTTGTTCACGCCAACACGTTTTAATACTGTTTGTAACATGAAAGCTCATTTTAAAAAATACTTTCATACATTGAACTTCAGAAAAAAAACAAGGGGGACTAGGTTTCGAGAGCGCTGGATCAAAAATCTTCAGTCTTTTAATTGATTTTCTGGAAAACCAAAAATCACCGGCAAATTAACGTTCAGGTGCTTTCTCAAAGCTAGTTAGTTTAGCCAAAATCCCATGAGAAAATGGTATAACATTTTGCCAGAAACAGACGATGTAAAATAGTACCTATTCCTATCCCTTGGGTGATACTAGTAAAAGGGTCAAAATAATTAATGCGTAGCATTAAGAGCTCCCTTGATTTGGCACGTTGAATCCGCTTCCCATTACAACTTCATCATAAACGTATTTTGGTTAAAAAAAAAACATTTTCGATTTCAATACTGCTAATGTAAGCTTCAAAATTACATCTTGAATCTTAAAATCTGCTGAAAACATCGTTAAAACCCGTGTCTGTACAAAACAATTCATTACAAAACAGTCCGTACAAAAAAATCTAAAAAATTATAACGAAGTCCAAAAACCAGTCCCACATAAAACAGTCCCAATGATACAAGTGATAACTTTTCCAGAAACTGATGAAAAAAATTTAGCACGGATTGAACAATTTTTGGTTCCGGATGATAATTAGTAGTATAAGAGGGAATATATTGCACGATAGTGCACTTTCAAATTTTCTTCAAAAAATTTGAAAGCATCACTCGAAACATTTTATTGACAATAAAATTCTTACTGTTCATGAGTTCTACGTGTATGATTTACTAAAATTTTGTTTTCGTTCTCTGAATCAACGACACCCGGCATTTTTTTTTGAATTCCATTTTTCACTAAAAACTTACGTTTATCATACAAGAAAATCGAGTTCTCGGACATTTGATCTGCCATTCTGTAACAATAAAAGGAAGTCATGCTCATTGACATATAGAGGTTCCAAGTTATTAAACCTATTAATTGTCAATAATCTACTTCCTGAAAAAGTTGGTTTTATGTCCAATAAAGTAAAATTTTTGTTTGTTCATAAGTTTAGGGATAATTACATACTTGGCAATAATGATCTAGTACATAAAAAATTTTCCCCATAAAAAGAATTAAATCGACACCTTTGATTAAATGCTATCAGACGCTGATTTGAGGTTGCGACTCTATCCTGAAAATATGACTGGCTAATTCTTCTAAAAATTCGAGAAAATCCACTTTTTGTGAATTTGAGTGAGTTTTTCAAACACTTGAAAAATTGAAAAAAAAATCCGTTTTTTTTATTCAGTTTATAATGATACTGTATAGACGTATTGCGCTTAAGTCGTGCTTTGAAAATACCGAGCTTGTAAATTACGACATCTATTTAACTCGGATTTCAAATTGATCGAAAATATGAATTTTTCATCAAAATTAAAAAAATAGCTTATAATTCTTTTATTATGATTTCTTTCAAATGTCATAAACATAAGACTAAATTCATGGCGAGACGATTACATAATGCATCCTTAAGCTACCCTTGATATACTGTTAAATAGAAGAAATTTCCTTAACCTAAATAATTAGATAAAAAATAATAATCATTTAATCAAAAAAATTAGTTTACTAAGACTATATTTAAAATCAAGTAAAAAATATAATCTTTACTGTCTAGGGTAGACTTTCAGTGGGTATTTTGTTGCCCTTTGTCTACTCTTTACTTTGTCATTTTGGTTCTTCATAATGTTTGACGATGTTGTGTAAAAACTTGATTGGGGCGAAATAAATTCTTTCTTTCAATATAGAGTTACCTAGCTAACAGCAGCGTCCATTAGAAGCAGTTATCCGCGAAACAAAAAAGTTAACGCAATCAAAAAAGAACTTTTTTTAATCTAGTGCTTTTGACCTAGGCCCTGGGCTAGACATACTTGCACTATCAGATGATTGGTTCTGCGATGGAACGTTTTCGGCTGCTCCAAATGTATTTTACCAAATCAATACAATACACGCTTAAGTTGAAGGATGTCTTGTACCTCTTGTTTACGCTCTGCTTCTCAACAAAAAGGAATCAACATATTGTCGCCTCCTCGAAGTTTGAAATGTTGAGTCACTAAAACGCGTTACAATTGATTTTGAAGTATCTGTGCGAATCAATCACAGCTACCAATCAGAACGCTCAAACTCAGTTTCTTTTACATGAGTCAAAGCGTCAGGCGAAATGTTCAGTCGTCAGGCAACACCCACGATTACAACAAAGACCTTAAATTTTGTCAGCTTATTCGAATGCTTCTGTTAAAAACGTTTCTACCAGTAGAAAACGTCCCCGCTGCGTTGAGCTTTTTCAAGGTCTAGCACCCCAAGAAAATCAACCGATTATCAAGTACTTCAAGGACACCTGTATTGCTAGACTGCCTTCTCAAGGATGAAAGTATCCCTGACTTAACAGAGCAATGGAGTTGCCATCAAAGAGTATAAAATGACCTTACCCGCACCAACAACGCTGTAGAATGTTGGATCAGCAATTTCGTGAAATTAGTCAAGAGCAAGCACCCTTTTCCAAAACTCCTCGAGAAGCTCAAGGATGAATAAAATAAAGCCGAGATTTCACCAGAAAGTTAACTTTGTTTTCACTTTAATATTGAAAAATCAAGGAAATTAATCGCACATGGAAAAGTTTTATTACTTGGCAGTGTTGAATAAATTTAAAAAGTGAAAACAAAGTAAAGTAATAAAACTTTTCCATGTGCGATTAATTTCCTTGATTTTTCAATATTGAGCTCGGGTTGATTTGAATCCGGCGCAACACTGGATACATGCAAGGTGCTGATTTTCTTTTCCTCCTCGCCCAACTTTCAAAGTTTGAGCCAATTTGTTGTACTCGAGACCTACCCGTTTCAAATTTGCCCAAATTTCAGCTTCTTTTCGGAAAATCGGAAAATTTTTAGTGCCACCGAGGATTCCACCTTTTGCTCTCTAGATTTTGAGTCTAACGCTTTAACCAGTAAACCATGATTCCTTTGATTTCGATCTGATTTATGGTTCATTTTTTGGTTCTTTGATCTTTAAATACGCTCATGTTAGGTTTTTCAAAGCGTAAATCAATTCTGTCGGCGCCAAATTTTGGACTGTTTTGTATGGGATTGTTTCTAGGACCTTTTTTTAGTGTTTCGGACTGTTGTGTATGGGACTATTTTGTATATGCACCTGAAAATCCCATTTTCGTATTTCATATTAAACTATTAGTTTTTGGCATTCCCATCGATTTTAATCTTACATCTGCAGTGAATGATAGCAATTCGTTCAACGCATCAAACTCGAGTGCAGTCGATGCTATGACGTCATTTTCCGAGTTGGCACTCTCGTCTTCGTCGTCCGAGAGAGTGACACACGTGGTGGTCGTGTTATTTCCACTACCCCCATTGGAGCTACTTGTCGTGCCAATTGAAACTGAGTTCGAGGACTGGTGACCTTTGTGAAGTTTCACGTCCAGAAAGAATTTCACCTGCAAAACCACTAAGATATAGTAAAAATAAAGTTACAAATTTCAGGGTTAAAAACAATTACTGCGGCTATTTTCATTTCCCCAACATAATAGCATCAATATTTTTGGGTAATGAGTAGTTTTACAAGGGTATGTAAGAAGAGCAAACAAGTGAAAAAAACTCAATTAGTCCATAGGCCAACTTGATAAAGTTTTACGCAGGTGCTCGGTGGGGTCGGTGGGTTTGAGTGTGGGTTAAAGGAGCAATGAGTACTCAAACAACCCAGCAATGAGACGTAATATGCACAGACAAATTATTTCTTTGAGGTTCACACAAATGACCAGAACAATTTAAGCGTTCTTAAAATCATTGCAAACTTTCTTCGGCAAAACTTCATAGATCAGAACACTAGCAAGCCGTGACCGTTTTTGATGCCAAAAATAGTTTACCAAACGAGAGGTATAAAATAAATGATTCAAAAATTCTCAAAAGCTCAAAATCTGTCTTACGCCGAGTTTAATTGGTTGAAATTAAACTAAAACCAAATAATTCCAGGTCTCTAGGCAGTATTTTTTTGTGCCTACATTAAAACATCTCGATTTTCTATTTTCAATCACCACCCTTCAAAATTAAGTTTACCATAGAGCCAATGGTTCCAACTGAAATCAGCAACAGTGATTCCCTCCTGCCCATTCGTGCTACATCCATCAAGAGGGAGCAGTACTCGAAGAAGTGTCTTAAGTGTCTTCTTCTGAGTAGAGAACTGTTGGCGAAGTTGACCAGTGTCTTCAGGAAAGAACGAAGCTCACTTTTACAATACACCTGCCACTCATCGTCACTATCACACAACATTTTAAAAAAAGGTTGAACAAATTTGTTTCAAATACTTAAGTAAATCTCAAAAACAACTTCCAGTACAAAAACGCTCAAAAGATAGAAACTTTAACCTGTTACCGATTCAAAATACACTTAGCATCGCTCATGATACACAGCATGTCTCATGCTTAAGTTTACATCCATATTCAACGGTCAAGTAATTCTAAAGCAGTCCAGAAAAAAAACAGAGCAACTCAACTCAGAAGAAACTCAATGAGAACAAAATCAGAATGCAGTATTCCGTTGAGCAAGCTCCAATTACCTGCACTATATTTCTTCTTGAACTTACCTAGTCTTGCTACAGACGTTTGATATGGCCAAGAATATCAACTTCTGTACGAGTCCTCTGATATGCGCATTGGGACACCTGATCAACACCTGGTTCAGCCACCAATCATTTTGACTCAGGTGTTTTATCAACCACTTGCACACTTCCACACACTCTGAGTACAATGACGTCACGAAATCAAGCCAGAAATTAATGCTCGGACTCTCTCGAGAGTGAACTAGAGTCTCCAACACGAATGTCGTGCTCAACTTCGCACGTTGAAACTCGAAATGATTAGATGATTTCGGATCGCCAGGAGTCGGCAACGTTTTTGCCACAACATCATTGAATTTATACAGGAACTCAAAATAGTTCTTGTCAAACAGCAATCTATCGTGGCGTAACTGGAGGTTATCAGTGTTTATTGAAGCGCAAAACGTCTCCGATGGACTCAAATTAGGAATCAGTGAAGCCTTCTCTTCACTTCGCATTAAATCTACACTGCGCTCGTAGAACAGCATGTAAGCGCTGTGTGACTTCTCGAAGGCATAGTCGACAAACTTTTCAGTGAGTTGGTTGAATGTCTTGGACACCATCTGGCCTCCGAAGCACTCTTGAGGAATGTTGTCTGGATTGAAAGGCTTCACTTCGGAGTCGTTGAACAGAAACCTGAACATACCACGGAAATATCATCTTTTCTAACTCAAGACACTATCTCTTTTCTAACTCAATTTACAATAAGATAATTCAACTACTTTTGAATCTAGAATGAATATTTCTAAATGGATGAAAAGAGCCGACGATAGCAAATCAGCATGCAAAAGTTGCAAACATAGGTGTCCCTCATTAAATCATCTAAATTAAACACGAAATCTCATGTAACTTATTTCTCTGACTGATCTCTGTTTTTTGAACTCACCACACATCCGATTGCGGATAGGATCTATCTCTCACGAAACAGTAATAATGACCACTTTCAGCCGCCCCTGTGTGAACTGTAACTCCAATCAACTCATAATTCAGTTCCTCTTGCTGGCCCGAATCCAGTCCCGCCGATGCCGATGATGATGACGTCGCACCTCCCGATGCACTCCTGGAGTTGGAATTATCGCCGACCAGGTACGTTTCGGTGTACTTTCCCATATTGATGTGATTTGGGAACAGAAAGTGGGTGTTGACTTTCTCCCGCGCCATCGATTCCATGTTGAACTTGTATCGCATGGTGTTTATGACAAGAATCCGAGGCAACTTCTTGAAACTTGCTCTGAAACAACGCCACGGTCCACTGATAATTCATATCTTGGTTCTCTTTTGGGAAAAGTTCGTTTCATGTAAAAGACCAAATTAAACAAACCACACCAGCAAATACCTTGACACGTTATCAGCTGCTTCGACTCTTATAAACCTTGCTAAGCACAAAAAATAAAGCTAAAGTTTCCTTGGTTTTATTCAAATGAAGTTCTTCAATTTGGAGCATAAGAAAAAAAATTGCAATAAGGTAAATAAATATTACTATTGAGAAACTTTTAAGTAAAAAGAGCCAAATAATGAAGTCTTTAGAGCAGCAATAAAGGCAACCATGGGTGGTTCGAATCCCGTCAAGATGGTTGCTAGAGGGCGAAGTAAAACTTCTAATTTACGGAAAAAAAAAGTAAGAGCAACGAGCCAAATTGAGGAGCTGAACTACTTATACTTTGGGGTTTTCCCAAAAGGAAAAACAGTCCATAGCCATAGTTTAATCTTAGTGAACATAGATAGATTATGATCATTCGTATCTTGTGAAAAATTCGCCTCCATCGCGGACTTATTCATCCAAGTTGAACTAGCACCACCCCCCCCCCACAAAAAAAAACCCAACTAGACATCATCCTCTTTGTCCTCTATGAAAACTTAATGCAGGGAGATTAAGCACACACGAAATTTCCACCTAGTTATGAACTTACAATTTTGCAAACAGGGGAAATTTTAACTTGATCGGATTGATGTTAGGGTATTTTGTACCTCTTTTCAGCTCGCACTTTGGTGTGACAACTGGAACAGGTGTACATGTTGTCTCCCTCCAGCATGTCAATCTGGCAGAACTCGTCCAGTGACTCATAGAGATCTCTCAAGTCAGCCACCTGACACCTTACAGTGAAGAACTGCTCCACTGTCTTGCTCACGTGCATACAGTCCAAAGACACCACACCTAACAGGAAAAAAACCAAACTGTTAGCATATCCCTTCAGGCTAACTAATGAGTTATGACCGATGTGGTTAACTCAGAGTAATTTCGGATAGGGTACACCGTCTGCTCGTCACGCTATCTTATTTTCGGCCGGATAGATTCGTGCAACTTCTTAGTCTAATACCGATCCTAATCTTACTCTTATACTTTCTAGTCTCAGGGTGTTTAACTAGTCTCTGCTAGGCTCAATAGATCTAGGGTATACTGGTTTGTTGCGGCTGCTGAAGTTCTCTTGGAGAGGCAACTAATTTCTAAGTTAAATTCAAATCTCTCTGGTGCTGAAATTACAAGTAATTTCAGCACTTACAAATAAGTGGGTTGTTAGTTAGATGAATCATGATTGGTTAATATTAAACACTTTACAGTGGTAAAATATCTAATTTATCCAATCATAAAATATAGTTTAGATCAGGTTCCACCCATCCGGGTTTTACAGAGTTTTTTAGAATTATCTTTCTGCAATTCAAAGGATGGATGATGAACGTTGGTATTTGACGAACATCGTATTCTTGTCCGGTTCCTCTTGTTAGAGAAGTTCCAGGACGCTGGAGTTAGGGGCATCAATCGTTGTGTCTTCTTGTGACAACGACTGTGTTTTCCAACGAAATCAATCTGATTTCAAAATGGTTTGCTAATGACGGGTTTTTCTGTATTATGCGGAGAACTTGTTTTGTGTTCAACCTCGTCTGGGAATGGCGTGGAGATTGTGCGTGGAGGGGATGCCTTGTAACTCGGATCTGTACGTATACTTGAACGTCGAGGTGGTCATTGGTCTAGTTCAATGAAGTCCTTTTCTGCGAAGTCAAGTCGTACTCTAAATCCTTTGAGTTGTGATTGTGGACGGCATATCGGTTGTGGTTAGCCATTCTTGTTCGAGTGTAGTGGGGTCGTTTTGTCTTTGGATGTTCGTCTTTGTTGTTGCGTGCTGATCTATATACTGCAAGGTATGATTTACATTTTATAAAATTTTTATTAGTTCAGTTTTTTAATTATGAATTTAGCTAGTTGTTTTCACAAAAGCATTTTGTTTTAGTTCGGTTATTTTGAAGAGTTACTCACCCTTGAGTACCTCTTATTAAAAATAGAAGTGTGGTCACAAAGCGTGGATGTAGCGCGGTGGGTTAGGCCGGCTATAGAGCATGCTCAGGACGTCCTCTCTGGTGGGTTAGGCCAGGAGTGGGAGTATGATTTCGTGCGGTTTCTTTGAGAAGTCCTGTTATGTGATAACGTTTTATGTTGGGTTTGTGTTGGTCTTTCTTATGTTCCTTTGGTTGTCTCCTTTTTTCAAAAATCAAATTGTTTTTGTTATGGGTTTGTCTTTCGACTTTTTTGTGTTTTATTATTTCTTTCTTAGACTTTATAATAGTCTTCAAAAGAATAAATTATCCAGTTTTAAACTGGGTTAACCCGGTTTGGGTACTGTTGGTTTTCTTTTCTTAGTCATGCTGTTATTTTATGATTTGTGGTGTTTAGTAAGCTGCGTTGGTTAGTTCGGTTTAGTATATAATTCCTTTCCAACCGGGTTAAAGGAAAGTTTGAAACTTGTTATCGTGTGTTAGAGTTGTTGAGTGTGAAAACTTGAAACTGAAATTCATTATTTAAACAATTCTTCGTGGGCAAGCTGTGCGAGTTTGGATAGAATTCCTGTGCGAATGAATGAAAATATCAAAAGGTTAGTACTGCATTTTCATTTTATCAATTTATTACATAGAATTTCAATTTTACTGCATTTGAGGGAAATTTTAAAGTTATAAATTTTCATCGTATTGAATTTTACTGCTTCATGGGAAAATAATTTATAGAATAAATTACTACATTTGGTATGAGTTTTATTACATTATTTAGTGCAAGGTATTAATAAATTTTAGAAGAATTTTAACAAGTTTGCATTTTTATTTTTCTTTTCTGTTTTGTAGATTGTCGTGGTGTGAAGACTAGAAATGTAAATCAAACTTTGATAGAAAATGGTTAGTACTAATTTAAATTTATTAGTGAAGAGTATTTTAAATTATACTTACCTGTTAATCATCTGGGAAAAAGCCGTGGGGGAAGATGTCGTGTATCATATCTGATGTTGTTAGTAATTTGGCTAGTATGCGAATGATGTTTTTAGTTTGGAGCAGTGGCCAAAGCAATTGAAGTGCTTTAATGATTTTTAGTTCTTCGGTGCCTACTGCAAACTCATAAGGTGTGTTTTGAATGAGATTATATATTTTGTGATTGTATTTAGTATTGTGAATAAATTCTAAGATCTCATTTTGACGCCAGAAATAAATTTTCACTAATAAAGACGCAAAAACTGTACAATCCATTTACAAAAAAAGCACCACACCTAACAGAAAAATACCAAACTGTTGGCAATATGCCTTCCGGCTAACTAATCTGAACGAATCAGATCTCATTTTGACGCCGGAAATAAATTTCCACTAACAAAGACGCAAAAACTGTGCAAAATCAATTTACAAAAAAAGCGCCATTAAGTGCTCAAGGTCACTGATATTTCGAAAAAATTCCTATCAACTACAGTTCTGATTTAAATTTTCCAGACGAAAGGAATAGAATCTAAACTTTAAAGTGCGTCTTATACAAATTGAGTTGACTTTAGACTAAAAATGATGAAGATCATACTAATTTATATTTTTAGCAGAAGTATTATAGTGCAACTTTATTAAAATTCAGCGAAATCCGAATTTAACTCACAATCGATCATTTTTTTGATTTTTTTGTTAATCAAAAATTACGATTTTACTATCGGAACAATTGCTGATAAAACTTTACTAAAATGAGCTTTTTCTGCAACCGAAAAAAGTTTAAGAAGGGTATAATCTTTCAAATTCGGTATAGATAACTTTATCTTTGTTAGATTATAAGTTAGATACGTTAGATTATATGAAAAAGCGTCAATTTTCTAACATAAAATGCCAAATGTTTTTACTTGAAAATAATTTTTAAACTTTTTGCTCAAATTTTTAGAGATAATACCCTTTGGTATAATTAGAGGCTCACTTAGGTATAATTTTACACAGAGGCGATGCTTCGCTTTGCAAACACTAGCAAGAACACGACAAAGAGCAGCTTTGCAAATTACAATAAGAAAAGTGTAAATAAGCCACGAATTAGCAAAAACTCGTCTACGTCTGAGATTCGAGCCTGCGACCTTGAGATTAAGAATCACACACACTATCCACTCAGTCACGGAAACTCATTCGTAGATAGCAGGGAGAAGATTAATAACTAGCCACAAAAAAGGCAGACAGCAGATTCTATGCAACTTCCAATGCTAACAGTGAAATTTCCAAATAAGTGAACATTTATAATGAACACTTTAATTTGCGAGTTAGATTAGAAAAGAAGGTTCGTAATAAAACATTAAGCTGACGCTAGAGTAATCAGCAACTGATCCGCTAGTTCTAGCACAATTTTGTATTGGCTATTAAATCCAAAAAAGACCGATTATGGGTTAAAAACTTCGACCCGAACTTCGCAAAATAAATTGCACCATAATAATTCTGCTAAAAATCTGAGCATGTTTTGTCGCCATCATTTTCGTCTTATATCAACTCATTTCGAGAAAAACGCATTATAAATTTCAAGTTTTATTCGTTTCGACCGGATAATTTAAATCAGCTCTTTATACCTCTGTTTCATTTTCGAAATAAATTAATAGCTTCACATAAACTTCGACAAAATAAACTATTAAATTATAACATGCATATCTTCTTCTTGTTCAAAAACTCTCTCCCGCTCTATGATATAGCTGGGAAAATAACCAACAGATAGTAACAAAAACAGCAAATAAAAACAGCCAACATGCAGTTAGAAAAGAGTTAGTTAACACAAGGAAACAAAAAACGACTGGTTATTTAAAAAAAAAAACGTCAAATTTCAAGTGAAAAATATATGGCCTTCAAGCTCTTTGAATTTTAAAAAGAATTTGTGATTAACACATTTTTGATAAAAAAAGATTTATCATTGAGAAAACTAGATCAATAGGTGGACTTTTTATTCCGCTGGAAAATCTGAAATTTAAATTCCACTTGCGAAATTAGAAAGTCGATCATGTTTTTCGTGATCTTTACACTTTTGCTGTTCGACAGCTTAGTTTGCCTTCCTTTTAATAAAGGAATCGAACTGAACTGAAAAACATCCAAAAGACAAACCGCTAAAAATCAAATTTGAGCCTGAGCAAATATTAGGACTTCTCTATTTAAGATAAACATGAAAAAATCATCGCGACATATATAAGATTCTTTACTACGTTCATTGACTCTTACAAAATGACAAACGTTTCTCGAGAGTTTGTAACGCCGTAACCTCTCTGAGCTTCAAGAATCCTTCTTGAAGTATTTTTTAATCCTCTGAAATGCAAAATATGAACACCGCTTATAAAAATCAAAATCAAGCTATTTCCACTTTTGTTAGCATGCAGCGTAACTTCTGGGTACTGAATAACTGAATAATTGGATAAAAAATTCTCAAAAACCTATTCAATAAATTTCAAACCAGTTTTTCTAGACTGATTAAAATGTTTGGAATTTCATTATATCGTTTGAATCAAAACTTCAAAGTGATATATCATTCGACCCAATCCGATAAATATTTGTCCCACGTGTTTTTGCGTAGAAAACAAAAAATAAAAACAAAACACACCTGAAGACACAGTTCTTCCCCACTTTCCTATCATAGCAACTGAATTTTTTACTTTCAAACTTTGAGTTCTATGAAAACAGTTTTATTGCCTGAAAGCTTTTTAAATTTCTCAGATTTGTTTGTTTTATCTATTTTTTAAAAACCTAGCCCAATTCGAGACTTTTCTCTCTCAACTCAACTCAATTTTTTTCTTATTTCACAGGGGAATTTCTATTCCTATAAAACTGAAGCTCAAGATCTTTAAATTGTCCCCCATTTGCTGATCGAATTCGTAGCCCCCCGACAGTTGGAAAGTGTCAATGAAGGTAAAAAATAACAGACTTGTTTTTTGAAAACTTCAACTTTAGAATTTCAAAGAAAAATAGTATTTGGCCTTAAACACTTTGATTTTCAAGAACAATTTATGATTGGCACCTCTTTGATACAATTAACTCAGTTTGAGAAAATTGAAGTGTTAGGTAATGTTTTATTCCGGTGGGAAATCTCAAAATTATATTCCACTTTCGCAACTAGTTATTTCACGCCATTTCCTCTTTTGTAATTGGAGCGCGAAATTTGCCTGCTTAGCAATGAACTTGAACTGAACTCAAAATGTTCACATATGCATGCCCATGGAGAGTAAATAAAGCAGCCAAACTATAAACCATCTGAAAATGCGCGGAGTATATATGTCAGCCGAAACGTTACGTTACATCAATGAAATGTGCATGACTTTCCTAACTGTTACATAATTGTTACATAACTATTTCATAACACATAGGTAATTTGGCTGGTTGGTACTTCGGCTGATTTATGTACCACCATGCCAAAGGGCATTCATAATTGGAATTCGTTTTAACTTTTAGAGAACATTCTTTCTTTCTTTTCCAGAACTCCGGCGGAAAAAAGTTCACTAGATGTTACTCACTGTTTGTGATCTCTCCCCTGAACAGATTATGGACCAGGTCTCTCAGCTGGGGACTCATGTCTTCCAATTTGGCGATGAGGTCATTGAAGAACTCAGTCATGTCCTTCTGGTCACAAGTGTTCAGGGGCTCATTGTCCATCACGTACGAACGACAGAACGAACGCGGATTGTATGCTTTTCTGTCACTCAGCTACAAAAAATTACGTTTCGTAACTGACAGATTTGACAATCGAACCCCTCTTCACACAAAGAGTCATAAAAAATCTCTTACGGCGCTTTAGGTGGGGGGAGGGGGGGTCAATTATACAACTTATTGCAATAGCGCTTCTAAAATTTTTGTCTTGTTGAAAATTGCCTACGACGCAGAAAAAATTTTGATCAAATAGGATTTTAATACTGCATGAGGAGGTTTTAAATAGTTCGACCTAAAACGTCTACAAAAATCCCCTCTCCTCGCCAAAATCCCACATAACCAAAACCAATATCGAGTTGATGCTGAGTCAAGTCAAAGTTTGGTTTAGAATTACATGGATTATTTGTAGACATCGTAGAAAATTTCATTGCCTTAAGGTGGCTTATTATTTTTTCAATTTAGGAGAATCTTCCCAGACTCTTTATCTCACCTGCAAATAAGCGAACATCTTTTGTAGCTCCAACAGGACTTTTCCATGTTTCCTTTCCATGTTACTATTCGACATTCCAGTTGCTCCGTTGCCATTTTGAGGCACATCACCTTCCATATTTGCCACATTCATACTCGCTTCATTGTGATTGGCTGATAAAATGGCCGAACGCGCTTCATGGATCATAAACAGGTGTTGCAGTGCAGTCGCCATATAGCATGTGGCACCTAGGTTAATTAGCCCCACAAAACCCGCTTCTGATCTTCGTTCATCCAACGGCCAGTAGGACCATGGGTAGGGCGCATGAAACTCTTTCGAATTTTGCTTCATCAACGAAGAGTAGATGAAATCATAATTTTTCACACACCCGCTAGCGAGCTGAATTATCAAATCAAACGCTGCCTTTCTGCTATCAGGATTGACCAATTTTGGGGTTTTCGTTTCCGATTCTATTTTAAACAGACATTTCATTAGGCTTTTGATTAACTCCAAACCTTGATCTGACGTCACGAAAGGTGGTTTAAGTCTACAAATTGAGCACATGATTGTCAGAAGCCCTCTTAAACTAGAGCAGTCTCCATTTTCTTCACTCCAGAATGCATTTTGCAGAAACTCATCCAAAGCTGTGGTTATAGATTTGACAAGGTACGACACAAAATCAGCATCACTTGCGCGTTCTTCCTCTTTTTCTAGGTAAATTCTCATCAAGTTTTCGAACAGAGAAAAGTATTCCTGGCCTGAACTTGGATCCGCTATTACACTTGAGTCTCTTGAATCGCGGTTATTATGGTCCTCGAGGCAACCTTCCGAAATGCTTTGGACTTCGGCCAGAAAATTAATTAAAGTTTCAATCGTCTTTTTGCAAAAAGCGAAGGACTTATGAGCCAATTTTGTAAGACCAGTTGTCGAAGTCTTGCTTATATTCTTGGTTGCAAAATTGACCACAAGTTGATAAACTAATGAAAAGAATAATTTATGCTCCATCAAACTGGTACAAACGGAAGGATCATGACAAGCGTATAAATTGAGAATGAGGAAACATTGGCACACTAAATTTGACTTCAACGATAAAGTTCTTCTCGAAACTGCATCCGTTTGAGTTTTCGACGCGGAATCCATTAGAATAAACAGACTATCCAGAAATCGGTTTTTATCCAGCATCGAAACAAAAGATGGCCTATTTTGACTTAATTCTACAATTTGGGGTGGTACGTACATTTCATTTTGGGATCCAACGCCTAAGGAATCTGAGCAAAAACTGTTTTGACTGCGCATCACTAAGCCTCCTGAAGTGAACGGGTGCAAAGCGAAAATGTTGAATAATCTTAGAATCGAGGCAAGACACTCTTGCTTCCATTCTGACAATTGAACGTTTGGTGAGTCTTTCTTTTCACTCATTAGTTCTTCAAGCAAAACTTTCGACTCAAACACTGTTACCAGAAACTTTAATCCGCCGTATTCCACAAACTTTTGGCACCAATCTGAGCCAACTTTGTTTTTATTTTGACTCTGGGACGGCCCTGAAGTTTGGCTATTTGAGTCGCCACCAAAATCGGCGGTTAAATTAGAATCGAAGTTCGGAAGCGTAGGTGTCAAAAGGTTGGCTCCATGACCCCCAAAACCCCTCGGAGTGAGGGACGCGTCTGAAGTCATTTGGGATATCTTGTTGTGGCAATTGATGGCCAAATGCTCTAACATTTGAAGAGAGTAAAGCAACTTGAAGACGTTATCAACATCGAGAATGGTCGACCAGTCTATTGATGATGAATTCGCCATTTGGGGGAGATCTTTCGAAGAACTTGGCTCGGTGGCATTCGTCTGATAACTCGAATCGGTTGATAAAATCTCGAACTGCTGTTGAATTGCAGGATATGTCGGCAAGAGCATGATGAGATCCCAGACCAATCGGATTATTTCGTCAATGTTGAAGATTTGAGCCTAAAATAAAGACAGGAATAATTCATCAACGCTTCAGTACTCTGACATACGCATTGAAAAATTAACGAACAATTAATTGTCAATGCATATTTATTTTTAATAACTTTTAATCTTTACTCTAGAATACACTCAGAAAAAAATGATTTAAAACAAATAAGTTAATGCAATATTTAACTAAGGTAATGCAATACTACTGCTGAAAACAGGTGAACAGAAAAAAAAACAGATTTGAATCATTCACGAGAAAAATTACAACACGTTTCATTTCCAGATATCCAATATCCAAAAAAACGCACCAGAATGTTCTGCAGAATCAATATATGCGCATTAAGACGTTTCTAAGCACCAATCCCAAGTGCTTCGCTCTTTAAGAAAAAAAACAAGAATAGCCAGTTACGGTGCAAGTAGCACAGAATGTTCCGACATAGTCTAAAACATAAAAACAAAAAAATATTTCTTTTCAAATTAGTGCATTTTTTTTTCTGCGGGGTGTGATAAAAGGATCTGAAAGAAAATCCAGAACTTGAGAATATTCGACATTTATAGTAAATTAAGCGAAAACTGTCGAGAAATGACTAAGAAAACAAAACAATATCAAAAATGAAATTCGAAAAATTGATTCAAATATTTTTTGATTTTTCGAAGTTGTTAACTAGTAAATGTCGCTTAAAAAACTCCAAAAACAACTTAAATTGAGTAAAACTACGTTTTTTTGTCCTAAACCAAGTAAAAGTAAGCTCTTGTAAGCATGCTCGCTCGAATTCAGACAGCAAAACATTTTAAACCTGTTTTTCTTGACACTGGGACAACTTGTTGGGAATTTCTTAATGTTGTTCGAATGACGACTGAAAAGGCTTTAATATGATATATCACTCAACCCAGTCCGATGATCATTTGTTGTACCTGATTTTGCGTGGAAATCAAAGAAGAAAAAATAACAAACCCTAACACAAAGTTCCTCCCCATTTTCAATGGTCGTAACAAAAAGAACTGAAAATGACTTTGCGCTCATTAACAATTGTCAATTACATTTTCGCAGAAGCTGCCTCGGTATAACAAAAACAATGATAGCCGGTTACTAAGCGACTTGCACAGAATGTTACGACCATAGTCTTAGAAAAAAAATACAACCGTTTTTTCAAAATATTGTCGTTTTTTTTCGGCGTGGTGTGATAAAGGAGCTGAACAAAAACTGGGGAAGGTATACTCGACAGCCATACTAAAATAAGAAAAATGAAAAACAATTTTTGTAAAAAAAAATACTAGAAAAACGAAAAATTCTAACAAAATTTTCGACAAATTTTTCGAACTTTTGAAAAATTTGATTCCAAAAAGGCGCTAAAATGCTCAAAGTAGACTAAGTAACCCAGCTAAAGACTAAGTTTTAAATTAAGTTACTTTAAGTTATTGTGAGCTTTTAAGCAATTAATCAATTAAAATAAAACTGCTCGCGCGCTTTATTCGCTCGAAAAAAGACGAGAAAGCAAAAGTTTCAAACCGGTTTTTCTTGACACTGGGAAAAAATTTTGAATTTTTTTGTATCAAGATTCGAATCACGACTGTAAGGGCTTTAATATGATATATCACTCAACACAGTCCGATGATTATTTTTGATACCTGATTTTGCATGGAAAACAAAAAACCTAAAACACCCGAATACTAAGTTCCTCCCAATTTCCATGGTCGGAACAACAATGCTAGATAATTTGAAGAGAAAATTTGGATTTTTCAACAATATACATGCAATAGCTTAACAGAAAACTATTTTGAGACGCTACCTTAGAAGCTGAGCTCTTAAGGTTGGAGAGCCTTCTTAGAGTCTCAAACAGTCTGTTGAAATGAGCTTGCTGTAGCAATATCACTTGCGGGTAATTCTCCAAAGGCGGTTCTATATACAGACAACCTGGAAACTTCAAAAATACATCCCCTAGCTGAAACTTTGAAGCCGCGTCTTCCGATGACGAATCGTCGCAGTGCAGAAAAGTCAAAACGGCCGCAATTTGAGACTCATCACGTATGCATAAATCCGACAGAATCCGGTCATCGTGTTCCAATTTCAACTCCAGGCCATTTGTAAGCAACCTGTAATACTTCAACCGAGATCCTTCCTGAGTGTCAGAAGAGTTTTTATCATCAGAATCGTCCAGTGGTTTAGATTTCAGAAGCTCGTTTTGGTGAAAGGTCACATCTGCCCGCAGTTCGCCAAGATAGTCCGAAGAATGCATGTTGATTAGCTTGGGCTGATTGACGCCTGCAACTCGGTTGGCAAGATACAACTTCAGCTGGTGAGAACCCTGGAATATTATTCAAAAATCTATATAGCATTTTCCATTAACATCGATATTGAAATACCGATAACCTTATTGAAATCCATCGGCAGAATTAGTGACTAAATGACAGAATTTTTTAAACCAATTTACAATTAGCAGTAATTGATGTGAATTTTGAGGGTGACACTTCACTTCGACGATAAATTCAAAATTTTCTTTTTTTTAGAGACTAAAAATAGTTTTTAAAAACTTTCATTTAGCTCTTTTAATAAACCTTTCAATAAAGCTTCCGGCAGTACCTTCCCAAAAAAATGGAAATTCCGAAATAAATTCAAAACAAAAATTTTGGAAAAAAATACAGATTTTATTTAACATTTTTCCACAGAAAACTGTAGTCAGAGCTTGATGTTTTACTACCACAGCAATTTGCTGCTTTTATTTCGTAATTTTTCTTGAAGATCAGACCTTTCTGGGCATCCATGTTTTGGAGTGGCTGTGTATTGGGGCAGTGTTGGCCTTCAGGGCCGAGTGTCTAATGTGGAACGAGTACTTCTTGTAACTCTGCTGGATGTGATGTAACAGAAGACACACTATCGACTGCAATTCCTTTAGTCTGTCCAGACAGAACTGAAACAAAAAATGGTACATAATTACGTCAGAAAAAAACCAGGTGAAATACAATTTATGCTACACAGAGACGAAGCTGAGCTTCGCACCACTTGCGATGAAAACATGAACACAGATGCGAAGCTGAGCTTCGCACCTTTTGCGATTCAAATATGAATGAATATGATTCAAATCAAACGGAAAAAAAAACAATTTTTTCATTTTTTTTAACAAAAGCCCAAAATATACAAAACAAAAAAGGAGCACCATTAGAAACTCTACAAAAAGCTTTGGGAAAGCTATAGAGAAGGCAACTTTTCAAAAAAGTCCTTTTAGCGAAACTAAGCAGACAAAAAAAAGCAGACAATAATCTAAATTAGCCAAATTTTTTAATTTGCAAAAAACACAGGTCTCAACTGGACTCGAACTTCCAGGCTTTGTCGTCTCAAGCATTGGAGTTACATCGACTTGGAAAAAAGCTGAACCATCGAGCTACGGGAATCAAGTCGACAAAAAAAACAGACGGGCGACAGTCCAAAAAAAACTCTAGTTTCCAAAAAAAGAGCCCGACCGGTTTCGAACCCCAAGACTTTGCCATCTAAAGCTTTTGCTTTTCCTCTACGCCAGCTGGTTGATTGGATTTGAAACTATAACTACCAGTGGTTACAAAACTGAACGTACCTGAGCAGAAATCCTTCAAGACGAAAAAAAAACATCAAAAAATTCTAAATTTATAAAAATATTCCAACCCTTTCCCCTCAGAGCACATACACGCGCACAGAAACTTTTTTCGGTGGTAACGACACAATTAGAGGTCACTAAGTCGATATTAATTAAGCCGAAAAATATCAAGCCGATAAAAAAGACAAAAAACGAACAAAAAACTTAAACAAATCGAGCTGGCAAAATTACAACCAATATGAAAAGCAAATTTCGATTCGGTCGGATTTTTGAAATGCTAAAGAAACTAAAGTGTGAATTGTTTACAGCTAAAATAAACAATTTTTAGATGTGCTAAGCCGACAAAACATAAGCAGACAAATAATAGACCTTAATATTTGTGATCTGAAATTTTAGTTTTAAAAAAGTGACCCTGGTCAGATTCGAACACAGGACCTTTGCCGTCCCGGGGTATTCGTTACCACTAGGCTAAATTCAATATGAAGCAAGTTACATCAGGAGCCCAATGAGTCGTAGACAAATTTGTTTACGGTAAAAAAAGTATTACCCGATTGTAATACCGTTGCTTATTGCAAGGGTACAGAAAGACAGAAGAATAATTATTACGTTGAAGAAAGAAAGAATATTACGTTAAGAAGAAAAATTATTAGGTTAAGAAAAAATATATATTTCTCAAGTGTTAAACTAAATTCAAAGTGCATTCAAACCCGAGAGGCGAGCGAAACGCTGCCCAAATTTGGAATATTAATTTATTTCAATATCGATAAGGTTTATCAAACAATCAATTGAGAAAAAAGATAAACTAAAACCATTTCTCATCGAGGGAAAGACCAACATATGAGCTGTCCAGCTCTTTAAGGAGAGCCGCTATTGCACCCCCGGTTGTGCCTCTAAACGCGCAATATCTAGGTTATTTTTCTGGAGTAGTAGAGTTGCTTTATCCTCAAGCAACAAACCAAGGCGATTGTGGGCCTTGAACCACCGACCTTTGGACTGAGAAGCGGAGATCTTAGCCCCTTCACCGTTGCTCCACAAAGCAAGGAATGTCCTTATTTGCATTTTTAATGAAAAGATTGCAACTGTCGAACAGGGTGGGACAGTTGTTGGCTAAATTCAAACTTCGTAGTATTCAAAACTTAAAGATGATACATTTTCAAAGTGTAACTAACTTGTTCGAAACAATTTACAGATCCATTAGATGCAAAAAAAATATACAAGGAAAATATTGTTCTTACCGTTTCATCGCTCTGGAGAAACTTCGATATCCTCTCGAAGGTGCTCGCAATAAACTCTGCTTCTTTTTCGAGTTTGGGTAAATGCAAGTAGTAGCCATTCAAGACATCTCTAGCCATCTTTTGCATTTCTGAATCCTTCGACGTCAACAAAATAGCCCAGAACTGCTGCAGACCAGCACTTATCAATTCAGCTCTAATTTCCGACAACCCATTGGCTACAGAAGTCCTGGAAACATCAGCTGTATTCAAGCTACTTGAAGTCCCACTGACGTTTGGGAGTTCTGCGACTCCGTTTGAAGACGTTACAGATTCATCGCCAGGAGAGGATTGCTGGTCGCTAAAGAATACTCCTTTGACGGCTTTGCAGAAAAGCACCGCTAGTAAATGAACTTCAGCCAAATCTGACAAGAGCGGACCGGTTCCTTGAAGTGCCGAGGAGTAGCTTTCGATTTCCATCGGCCTTGTTGCCAATTCACTATTTATCGGAGCTGTATCAGTCGGCGAAGATGCTAGATCCGATTGAAGTTTACTCCATTGCGAGTCAGTTGTAACTAGTTTGCAATAGATCATCAACCATTGCTGGTCAGTCATTATGTGAATCTCATCCGTTTGACATATACCACATAACCAGTTCAGGAAGAAATCTTTGTAATTTGGGTTCGTGGACAGAACCGTCCAAAGAGATATAATATGTCCGTCTGAGAATGTATAGCAAAAACTATGACTCGTTTTGTGAAAAATTGCATCGAACAAGTGCAAAAACTCTCCGAGTTCCGATTGCGTTAGAGGCAGATTGTCAGTATTTGTTTGCTCTGGACTTTCAACCATTTCGTTGTGATCTGCAGTTAAATTTGCAGTTTCTGATTCTATCAAACTTAGAATTGTTCCAACCAGAATGTCCAGCATTGAGTGTGTTTGGATCGCGTAGTTTGACAGCGAAACTACGTTGGAGAACAATGCTTGCAACATTTTGACACACATGAAAGTCGAACAATTATTTCGAACCGAATTCAACAAGGAACGAACCATCTCCTTCAAAATTTCAGGATACTTCAAGAAAACTGCAACTAAATCGAACAAATTCTGCTTCACACATTCTTGCTGCTCTGGTGCTAAATCCGATAACTGATTACTTGTCAGTAGATCCCATATAAGAGAACTGCCTGCTTTGACGAAAAATGAAGATCCGACCAAGCTTGGATCGGACGACGAAGACGAAGCGGTTGAGTCCGTACTATTGCTTTCATCTTGATCACTTATAACTTCAAAGTCACAACTGGGTTCACCGTCTTCTGACCTCGTCTCCCTAACATTGCTAACCTCGCTATCATTAACTTGACCTGCAGACGATGCCAAAGCTACGTTTGACGACACTTCTGAAGCAAGCGGCAGCATCGCATCCGATGTTTCGACAGTCAAAGGCTGTTGAGACTTTACTCCGACCGGTTTCAAGATTCCATCTTGTTCTAAGAGTTCTCGAATGAGCAATTGATTGCAGCAATACAATGCCGATGTCTCTTCGTCCAAGTCTTCAAGATCCTCGACGTCGTCGTCATCGTCGTCCTCATCTTCGGCATCGCCTAACTGTGCCATAGGAGAATTGACCATCTCTGCATCTTGCAGATCGTCAGCTGCACTGTTCCGTCTGCCTGTAGGCGACAAAGGACTTTCAGATCCAGGACCCGCGTTGCTATCAACAGACCTTCTCAACTCCTGCTCACCTATGTCAACATCCAACTGCGGATTAATTCCGGTCTTCATATCTTGGATTCCTCTGAAAAGCTTATTCATTTCTTGGAACTCGTTTTCCTGTTCTTCCGTAAGGTCTCTCATATCGAAGCCGTGGATTGTTTTGTCCGACTCCGATGGATGGCGCTGATAACTCAGAACCCTGGAAGGTCCAGGCGCGTTCACATCTGGCGAGGAGTCATTAGCAGCGGGGATGAAATGACGACTGAGTCTCAGAGGCGGTGGCGGGGGAGGAGGTGGATTGATTTCGCGAGACACCTTCGAACTCTTTCTCTAAAACACAAGAAAGTCAACATCATTTTGATTTCAAAACATCCCCGTTAGACTGTTGTTAGCTAGATGATAGATCAAATATACAACAATCTTTTTCAGGTAGTTATAGATTGGATGAACATTTAACGCTGAGGCGAAGCGAAGCTTCGCGCCACTAGCGATACAACACTAACATAAAAAAGACGAAAAAAAACTAAATGTTGAAAAAAAACTAAGTGAACCAAAGTTTTCGTATGTCTTAATAAAAAACAACAACTAGAGGCCCAGCTAAAGCTGGAGGTAAGTGCTTGATACGGAATGAATTTCCTATACTCATGCGGCACGAAAAATGTGATTTCAAAAATTGGACTTCGCCCAAAACCTTAGTTGTTTCTCTCCTAATTTTGAGATAAATAGTTTTCCCAAGGATATAACCTTTCTCTTACAAGAAATTAGGGAGTCGCCGCTTCTGTGGAAACAATTATTACAACCGGTTTTTTAAATTAAACTTTTCATCTGAATTGATTGGGTAATGATTAAGAAAATTCCTAAAAAACGGTCAAAAGTTTTAAAAAACGGACAAAAGACTTTCCAAAATCTATAAGTTGTTTCGCAAAAAGCATTTTGTGGCCGCTTAAGCAGATATGATTCCCAAAACACAACCTGAGAATTGGCACAGTAGTTTTCGCGTAAAGTCAAAAAGTTTCAAAGTTTTGACTAGTTTGAAGTCCATAGCATTTTTTCTTATGCAAACTGGGCAACAAACAATTACAAACGTAGGCTTTCAACAACCTATTGTTTCGATTAAACCTAAGATATCAGAATTGGAAAAATAGCTGGAGAAAAGTCCAAAAAAAACTGTCAACAAAACGGCCAAAAGTCGAAAAAACGGTCAACATTTAAATGTCAGTTCCGAGAACCAAAATTTATGTGTAAAAACAGGGCGAATCTGCTTACGCAGATGGAAGTTAAGCAACCTATATTTCGATTGAACCCATAATGTCAGATTTGGGAGGGTTAGTTTCGACTAAAAAAACGGTCAAAAAATCAAAATTCCCGAGGGCCCTAAATTTTGGTGTCAGAAAAAATTAGGGCGTAGTCGCATAACCAAATGAGCTCCCCCTAACCCCTACTTCGAATCATTCCCAAAATTTCAGATATGGCATGGAAGTTTTCGAGAATATTCAAAAAATATGAAAAACGGTTTAAAAAACTTTGATTTTTCCGGGGGCGATAATTTTTTGAGTAAAAAAACTTTGTGAGTGGCCGCTAATGCAGTGAAGCTTCCCAGTCCCCGTTAAGGCCCTTGATCCCACAATATCAGATTTGAGATGTTTGTTTTTGAGAAAATTCAAAAAGAATCACAAAACCGTCAAAATCGAAAGTGGACTATTCCGAGGGCCATAGTTTTGAGTGCAGAAAAAAAATTGGGCGTAGCCGATTATGCAGGGAGCTTTTCAAAACAATTCTAATCATTTAAACCCAAAACTCAGATTTGAGAGGGGTAGTTATCGAGAAAGGCGGTACTTTTTCGAAGGCGGTAAACAGAGGCGGCAAGTATAAAAAGACTCTAGGGGAGTATTCAGGCACAAAGGGAAGTGGGCGGTCTTTCAATTGATACCTTTTTTATGAAACAAAAAAATTTTGAAAAAAGTGAAAACATTTTCCAAAACTTAAAAATAAATTTCAACAAACCGATTGGTAAACATACAACCAACTTGAAAAGTACGGAGGGAAGTGTTAAAATTGTGTTTGCCTTGAAACGAGACCCAAAATTAGGTCATTAGGCCCATGAAAAATAGGCTGAATTAATTTGGGCCAAAGAATTTTTTGACAAATAATTGGCCGACAATTTTATTTGAATTAGAATATTTCTCATTTGAAAAAAGTCCTAGTCAGATTGGAACCCAGGACCTTTGCTTTCCAAGGCATAATCGTTACCCCCAGGCTAGTGGCTGGGACCGCAAAGAAGTTTGAATTCATTATAAGCCAAGATACAAGTGATTCTATAAAACAAGTTGTCAACCCGAAGAAAATCAGTTTGATAACGCTTGGTAATCACAAGCGTAAAAATTAAAATACAATACATAACTCACGTCCAGTTTTTGCCGCTTAGACGCCTCATTTTTCACTGTCTCTTCCACATTATTTTGATATATATTATCATTGTCTTCGTCACTTATTTCAACGTCCTTCAATTTCGGGGGCGATCTCTTTTTCCTGCTTTTGGTTGGACTCGGTGAACTGTCAATTGAAGACCCGGTAGTGTCGTTGTTTTCATTACCTGTAGTCCACTCAGCAGGTGGGTTCAGCACTACTCTGTCGCATTCCGATTTTTGCTTTGAGCTGGTTAGAACTGGCGATTCGCCCATAAAACCCACTGTGGCGTTAGGAGGGTACTGGCTCTCATCATTCAGAGCGAGTGAATCTGAAGTTTGGCTTGGTGATATTGCACCCTAAAACTCGATTTTTTCAAGAGGGTAACGTTTTAAAAGTTTTGTAATTAATTGATATTTCAGCATCATGATACGAGAGTTTTAAGACAACCAACCTAATAAAACTTTTTCAATTAATTAACATGTTCCAAGAAAAATATGTCATTGAGAAAAAACCGATGCATTCAACCCATTTCAAAAAATGTATTTGAAGCGTATGGCAAAAGGAACAAGTATTCATTTGCAAAAACCTAATGCAACGAAATAAGTTCTTCTAATAATTTCCACCCAAGTGGAAAAGAAGGGAACAAACCGGGAAAATTTTGCAATCAGATTCTATCACCCTTACCGAAATCTTTAAAAGCTGCAGTAAAAATTTGCTAATTATGCAGTGTGCACATTAAACGTTGAATAAACAGTCGCCAATGAAATTGGGCGCAAAAGTTGAGAACACAATTGTTCAAGACAACTTCGGAAAAAGTCAACTCGTTTTATAACACAAATTTTTCTCATAACACAAAAAAGATGATTAAAAAATCGGCCAAAAATGTTGATTAAGGTTCGACTACCCCCAGTGGAGGAAAGAAAATTTGACCTAAGGTACGTGACTTTTTCGCGTTGAAAAAGGTATCACAAACAAGCGTACTATCAAACTAATCGAGTCGAGTCATATATCTTAATAAAGACCTTTCTGTCGTAACTGGGATTCCGAAAAGCCTTTTCATAAAAAAATATTCTCGAAGTAGACAGAAAGTGGTCTGAATGTTCAACTTTTTAAGACGTTTTTTTTTAGAAAAGGATTGGTAGTATTTTCCAACAAGTCACTTCCAAAAGTTACTGTCAAGATAGTTGGAGCTAATTTCAATACATTAAAACTAAGCAAACTTAGAAAGAACAGAAAGCATAAACACTGAAAAGGAGTATAACTTTTTCATTTTCATTTTTTTCATTACGGACTAAGCTAGAACAATACTAACTTCTTGTAAGGCACCGGCTGCCTTTGTTAATTGGACCATGTCATGCAGTGACTCAAATAAATAATGTCAAAGGACGGGCTTTGATGGCGCAATTTTAGGTACCACAAGAACGCTAGTAGGGTCAATTCTAGAGGGTGAAATTATATCCTCATATAAAAACCCTGTTATTCCTGGTTCAGATTCCAAAATCAAAAAACTTGTCTCAATAAGGGGAAAACCAGGTCAAAAGATTTAACTAGTGGTAACAATTTAGAGCGCCTAGAGTCATCGCTCGGCAATTACGTCATTTTAACCAATAAAACAGAGGCGAAGCGGAGCTTCACAACACTTGCGTTAAAATGAAACACAGAGGCGAAGCTTCGCTTCCCAAACACTTGCGAGAACGACAAAAGCTGCTCTATTAAAAGCAATAACAAAAATTAAAAATAAGCCTCGAATTTGATTGAACAATTCGGCTACCTCTGAGATTCGAACCGCAACCTAGAAAACAAAAAGGATCACACACTAACCACTCAGCCACAGAAACTTAATAGGTACCAAACACTAGCCACAAATTAAGCAGAGAACAGATGCTAAGCAATTTCCAAGGCTGCAATGGAATTTCCGAATGATGAATACTTTTATTTGCGAGTTAGGTTAGAAAAAAAGAAGGTTCGTAAAACCACACTAAGGTGATCGCAAGTGTGAAGATAGCATTACCACATATTGAGAAAAAAAGAAAGATTTCTTTTTACTTATCCGAAAAAATAACTCGTTCTACAAAAATTTGTCTCGGACGATGTTCTTAAACAGCCTTAACAAGCATTGAGAATCAATGACCGAGCGGCAACTAAGGCGAAAAACTTGGGTCGACCCTCGTTAAGCCGAAAACGAAACAAAAAAAATTGAAAAATTTAGCCATAAAATTTTTTGTAAGTTAAAATGCTACAACCCGTCCCAAACGAAAAGGCGAAAGCATTAAACTAAATTCTCCCATGAAGCTTTACTGTGCTTTCGTGGATCTCGAGAAAACTTTTGACCGTGTGTCCAAGCAGTTACTGTGGTGGGCCCTTCGAAGTTCCGGTGTCGAAGAATGGGCAGTGCGGGTCGTCCAGGGTATGTACTGTAATGCCCGGAGTCGGGTTCGAGTAAACGGCCAGTACAGCGAAAAATTTAATGGGAGTGTCGGTGTACATCAGGGCTCTTTTCTAAGTCCACTTTTCTTCATCATCGTCCTAGAGGCCCTCCCACAGCAATGCGATTCAATCAACGTAGAGGCGTGCCTTGGGAGCTCTTCTATGCGGATGAATTAGTTATAATGGCGGATACGCTTGATGAATGCATCGCTAGACTCAGGATCTGGAAAACTGGCATGGAGAGTAAAGGTTTGCAAGTCAACAAGAAAAAGACAAATTTCCTGATCTCAGGCACTGGCCTTGATCTCCTCAAGGACTCTGGAAGTACCCTTGTGCTCTCTGTCGTAAAGGTGCTGGAAGCAACTCCATTGCTTGCTCTCAGTGCAAGTTGTGGATTCACAAGAAATGCTGCGGAATATCAGACCGGCTGGTAGCCAACCCAACATTTGTTTGCCCTAGATACACTGGATTGTCGCGGCCTATCGACGGTCGCCCTTCGAACATGATTGATGTAGACGGCACTACGCTTGATGTTGAGCCAACTTTCTGCTACCTGGGTGACATGCTCAGTGCGAGTGGGGGCTGTGATAGTGCAATTGCTGCCAGATGTTGCTCAGCCTGGTGTAGATTCAGGAAACTACTCCCTATGTTAACTTCGCGGCACATCTCTCTTAATACGCGGAAAAAGGTACTCTTCTTGTCCCAACGTATCAGAACTGCAACGACTCCAACGAAATGACCGTGCAATGAGCCGTTGGATCTGCGGTGGTAAGCCCGGTGTTCATGACCCACGTGCACTTCTTGATAAACTCTTATTGCGTGACATTATCAACGTCTTTCGGAGCAGACACCTCAGATGGTGTGGTCATGTTAAGCGCGCTCCCTCCTCTTCATGCATCAAAATGGCCAGTGAGATGCAGATCTCCTCCATCAAAAAACGTGGGAGACAAAGAAAGACTTGGTCCAAGAGGATTGTGTGGAAAATGATATCAAGGAACGTTGCCTTAACCACACTGACCCTCAAGACCGTATTTTATGGAGAGCTGCAGTTCGACAAGGCCTGGTGCTGCCAACCACATCTGATGGGGCAGGGACAGCACCATAATCAAAAATCGGATATGACGATGATGATCAAGCCTCGCAACATGAGTTGGTTTGCAATACAATTAAAACATTTCATTACAAGATAACGAAGAGAAAAGAAAATAAGGAAAGGTTTTTTATTCAAAAAAAGTTAAGCTGAAAAATTAACTTAAACAAGTCAAAGAAATGATCTAAAAAATTTCATACTTTGGTCTCGGACGATGTTCATAAAATTCTCGATTAAGTATAGATAATCAATGACCGAGCGGCAACAAAGATGGAAAAACTCGGTTCGAACCTCGTTGAGCCAAAAACGAATCTGTAGACAAGCAAAATATTCAAAATATGAATATTTTTGACGTATAACTTTTATGACCCACTCCTCCTGACACAAGCAAAAGCATTGAAAACAATTTGCCCTAGAAACTGTGCAAAATAGGATGACTAAGACTATCCAACATACGCCGAAATCGTTTATCCGCAACAAAAACTTCATTTGAAAACAAAAACGGAAAACCAGCCGACATAAATTATGTCGAAAAGCACAAATCCGGGAAAAAAATCAATAACTATACTTTTTTACTACCCCGCATGAACTAAAAAGTAGTTCTAATTGAACTTTCAAGAATTTGAGCATGTCGGAATTGAGCATGTCTGCAAAAAGTGTAAGAAAGGTAGTTTACGGGAAAAAGTCTTGTTCGCGATTGCAAGTCACTTGCTCTCGCAAGTTAAATTACCCTAAAATTTAACAAAATCGTATGATTACATACCCTCCGAAAAAAATCATTCAGATCGAAAATAATCAGATCTGAAAGACCAACTATCTTTCTTTTATTTTAAAATTTAGAGCGAGATCAAACAATCAACAAGAAACAGATTAAAATCAAGAAAAAAAGTGCAACGCGAATGAAACACATTCCTGCAAGCTGCAGGAATCAGAACACTGAAAACACAACCAAACAGGTAGAAATAAAAAAAATTCGAACACACTCTTCCTTTTCAATTTTTTGGGCAGAAGAGGTTTCAATCAAAATATTACATGTCGCAACATGCCTTGATGGCACATTTTTCTGTTTCAACTTCTTTTGGAAGAGTGTTCAAGCATTATACGATCTTCATAAAATTCTTAAAAAACTTCATTTTTCAATAAAAAGCAAAAACTTAAAAACATACGTTCAATCATACAGGTGAAGCGAAGCTTCGCACACTTCGCAAAACGACTCAAATGGCAAACTAACCAAATTTCTCTTGAGTTTGTCTTAAATAGAGTTTCTTCTAGGAAAAACATATCAATTGACCATTAAAAAAACCATACGACCACAAAACAGACAATACCTGAGCAGACACACGTTGAGCCGAACAAATCATTCAGAAAAAACTTGGAAAATCTAAAAAAAAATTGTTCTCTCCAAAAAACATTAAATAACAAACCTTCTTTTAGTAATCAAAGGCCTCAAAACAAGGCTGCTAAGCCAAGAACATAGCAAATAGACGATTAGAAAATAAAAAAGAATCAATGAACGCAAGTAAACAGAAAAAAATTAGACTTGAATTTTAAAACTTGTTTTGTTCTTTGGCTGAAAAACTTGATAATTAAATTCCAAATTCGAATCTAGAAGTCGATCAACTTTTTATTGACCTTTACACTTTCGCTGATCGATAGTGGAGTTTGCCTTCCTTTTATTAAAGGAAATGAACTGAACTCGAAACGAAATCAAAAATCAAACCGCAAAAAAAATTGAGCCTGAACAAATTTTAAAACTTTTCCTGAAAAAAACATCATCGCGACTTATATAAGAGTCTGAACTATGTTCATCGACTCTTAAAAAATGCATATCTCAAAACGTTTGATCGTGAAAATTTAACGCAGACAGTTTTCTGATAAAAAGCGTTGCAAATTTCTTAACACAAAAGCGAAGCTGCCCTTCAAAAAAAACTAGCGAGAACACTACAAAAAGCAGCTCTATAAAGCGCAATAAGGAAAAGTCGAAATAAGCCTCAAATTAGTTAAAACTCAGCTACGACTCGATTTGATCTGTGACCTAGAGATTAATAGTCTCACACTCTAACCATTCAGCCACAGACGCTTAATTAATCACAAATACTAGTCACAAATAAAGCACAGAACAGATGTCATGAACTTTGCTACAGATCGTGATTATTGCAAGAGTGCCACCAAATAAGTGAACACTTTTAAGGTACACTTTTTTTTGCGAGCTAGGCTAGAAAAAAAGAAGGTTCGTACTAATACACTAACGCTCGCAAGCTGACTAGTGTAATGAAACTGGAATTAGGAACTTGAAAAGACGGGCGAAGCTGAAAGAAAAAATGAAGCTAAAAAAAATCTGCGTTGTTGGATTCCAAACCGTTACTTCGAGATTGAGAGTCAAACTTCATAGGATCTGCTCCAGATATAAAAATACAAGGCTGTACAGCAACAGTAAACCAGATAATATGCTGTCGCTGCTACAGTGTCATCAAATGTTTGACGATGTTCATATTCCAAGATTTAGTTATCGTTCAGCCCTCTACTAATAGCATTAGGGTAGGCGATGTAGTTGGCTTATTAAAAATGCAAAATCAGCCGACAGAAAACAACAAAAGCGAAAAACGAAAAAAAGTAACTGAGAAATTGCACTTAAAAACTATTACAGTATATATTGGGGAAAACACTATCAAGGAACCCAACGTATTTTTTATGGAGCATTAAGCGAACAAAAGGATGCACGTGTACTGCATGCAATTGAGACGTCACATGTTGAAATAATCGGCGAATAAAGTTAATAACGGGAGAAAAGTCAAGTATCCGGCTGCAACACGTTTGCCATCGCAAGTGGAAACATAGTCAATAAATCACACCCCTTAAATCCGTTTAAAATTTAATTAAAATGAAACTATAGTGTTGTTTTTGGGATTCCTGATTTGTGGGGTGAACATATCTGAACCCAATGCTCCCTCTCCAACTTCTGCACGCAACAAAAACGTGAGTTAATAGTTTGGCTTTTTATTTCAAGCTTCAGGCGTTTTTTTTTCAAAATCCCAGAACTCTCATTTAACCGAACTCGATCGCCAATTTCAAGTAAGAAAATTACAGATTATTTTATGACCAAGAATTTGGCAACACTATTTCGGGCTAAACTCTATAAATAATATACATTGGGTACCATTATTTACACAGCAGCTTTCGAAAGATACTAATGAAAAACAAAAAGCAACATACAGACGAAAAAAAAAACGTCGACGAACTGAAGGAAACATCTACAAATTTTATATTGCATCGCGTTACCTTTCAGCTCTTGACGCTTCAAACGACCCATTTAAGTGACAATTCACTTCGTTCATTGAATTTTATTAATTGGGCAACAACACCATATCAGCTTAGCAAAAAAACCAGGAATCTTGTTTTTAAACTTGTTTGTTCAGAGCAACAAAACGTAGATTATATCGTTGAAAAAAGTTCAAATGGGAATCGAACCTGATTGCTTTCTGTTCTTTTCACAGTCAGTAAATCACTGGATCCACTCTGCGAGTTCGTGTTTCGACTGTCTCGTCTCGAACCTCCTGTATGTTTCCTCTTTCGCTTCTCATTGGCCAAATAACTGCCAAACTGATGGGCTATGTTTAACGTCATGAGCTGACGTCTCCAGCACACTTTTGTAATCTGGCAGCTCAGAGAAAACGTTTGATCTGTATGACTCGCAAGCGGCAATTCTTCCAAGTGTTTTTTGAATCTTTCAAGTAAAGACTCGTTCAAATAGTGTAAAATTCCTTCAATGGCTGAAATAACTTCACGACTTTTGTGCTTGTCATTTACAGCGCCCCATAAAACATCAATGTCGTTCAAGGTCAACAATTGTCCACTAGCCATAAATTGAAAGATCAAGTGACATTGCCGAACCAACTCTACATGAGTGTTCGCGCCGAACAAGACGGAGACCATTTTTTGAGATTTGAGCCATTTTTTGAAAACTGCTTTCGAGTTATTCGGATTAGAATTGCTCTGAGTACTAGATGGAGAAGGTGAAATGTTGCCACCGGAATTGTTTCTTCCAGAAGAGCTTGCTTTGCTTCGTTCGCATACCGAGACTTGTTGCGTTATGAAGGCCAATCCCGACAAACGCATTGTAAGGGTAGAACACTTGACGTACTTGAGAGCAAGATCTAAAAGTGACAAATATATTTTTTATGAAGCGTTACATTCGAGCAACTTCATTCGAAGCACTATACTTTTCAAGAAAAACGATACTTGTGAAATTGCTGTTAAACTGATGACCCAAAACTCTCATTCTTCATCGTATTTTACACTCTTTTAACCATTCCAGCCTCCATTTGAGCCAGATATATTCAATTTTAAACGATATTTATTTTTATCCTTAAAAATGCCTGTAGAATCTTTCAGAGTGCTATTCTTACTCCTTTATCTACTCATATACAAGCTTCAACTTAATTTCTGATGAAATTGAGATAATACAGTTTTTCGAAATTCATAATCCATTTTACTATTTCTGTTTAAGTAACTTTTCTGTCTTACCCAGAGTCTGTGTGTCAATTGAGTCCGGCGCAATCTCTTGAATCTTTTCCCAGCAGAATTCCACCGATTGTCTCCCCTTGGGGACCCTCAGCTCCTCCTCGCTCAATTGCTGCATGTATTGCACCAGAGATGACCTCAATTGACCTCTCTGGACCACACTGACCAGCTTCAGCTCGTCGCTAGTCTAATAAGTTGGTCATGATTAAGCCAAAATAAGACAAATTGGGTAAGACATTTTGAAACTCAGGACCATATCATTTTTTAATGACCGACAGTTTTAAGATAAAACACATAAGAGAAAATGGGGTTCTTTTCCTCAAGGGGGCGCATTAAAAAAAATAGTTCAAAAAAATTGGCAGGTGGTGGGGAAAAGAGGTAAAAAAGCAAATTTTTACGCTGTAAATCCAAAAAGTAAAAATCAATCTAATCTCCACGCTAAAAGTATTTCATTTTTTCCCGCCATTTCCAATTTCCTAATTAAAGAGCGTAATTTTCTTCCATTTAACGAAAATAATTTCCATTGAGCGTTTAAAAATCAGATGTTAGACAACATTTCTGTTCAAGTTCGTTCTAATTATCCAGCCACGAGACAAAGTTTTTTTTAATCAACGAGCAACAAAACGAACTCGTTCTTCATGTTTTTGTCTTTTCATCTGAAACTTAATTGACAGGTCTTGCCCGAGCCAAAATTTGAGCAATATTGATTTGAAAAAGCAAATTAGCCAGTATATCATATCTAGTTTAAGAAGTGTTCTTGCTGTCAAAGCATTATAGAAAACAATGTGCGGAGTTGGAATTTTTGGACTTAATTTAGTTCATTGGGGAACTGATTAGTTCTACGTACTGTTATCCCCCCCCCCCCGACGGGTGACCGATAACAGAATTGAAAGAGTTACAAAATCCAGCGTCGAAAAACTGTCATATCTGTTTTGCGACATATACATTCTATGTTCTTGTGAGCTGATACCAGAAAGTGGCACAACACTTACACACAATATAACCGCTATCGAGAATCTTGAGGATAGATTGGAGCAGTAATTTTATCGAAATATTTTCAGGAAAATTCTTCTTTTGCCGTATTTCGATCATCAATGCATAATTATTCATAAATTTTGACCCTTTTCGACGAAGGAACTAAAAAAATCTTATCTGGCGTTAAACGGCGGCATAAAGAGTAAGTCAAGCTCATCAGCTTCGCAAGGACTACTTTGAGCCCAAAAATTCCAACTCCTGACATTGTTTGCGAGAATGTTTCCACTGCAGGAACACCTCTATAACTACATATGATATACTGGCTAATTTGAGCCTTCAAAACAATATTTCCCAAAACCTTCTAAATAGAAACACCTACCATTTTGCAAAATTTCAATCCTTTATTTTATATAGTTGCAGAGAAAATGAGAAATACGTAGAGAAAAAATTCGTTCATTTGCTCGTTGAAATGAGAAATTTGCAACTTCTATGTTCCGTGACTGTACTTAGAAATAAAATCAAGTCTATTGAACTTTTTAAGCCTATTAGTTGATAGATTAGCATCGGTGGTTCATTTGAGATCAGCAAACGTAAAAACAAGTTTGTCGGAGATTATTAGCCTATGCAACCACTGCACTAGCAAAGCCACTGAACACACGGTGGCTATGTGATTTTTAAACAAAATTTAGAATCCGTAACTTTGTTTAAAAAAAAAACTTTTTCCAAAAGACATGGAGCTGGACACGCTACGCAACTTTCCGTCACCGATTACCGCAAAGCGTGATCATTAACAATCCATATCTCCGTACTGGCAATCACGCAATACGTATTAGCCTGACTGCATTCCAGTCATAAAAAAATTACATTGGATATAACTTTATGCTAGTGCACTAGACCATCGTCGGTTACAACCTGGTTCAAAACCTGGATCAGTTTTCAGCAGTCGAACCACCTAATTCAATCGTACCACCTATTTTTACATTGCGCGCCAAGTTAAACGATCAAGAGAAAGCAAATACCAGCCGTGTTCAGACAATTAAGACATCTGTTTCCGCCATTTTCAAAAAAGAACAATTCGGTCAAAATAACCTAGACATTTCAAACAGACATTTCAGACAAAACATACATTAGAGCACCAAAATGATAAAGTTACGTGCGTCTGAACTAAATTGATTTGGATCTTTTGGATTTCTGAGGCTCTTGGGTTTTTGAACAAGGACAATATGGGGCACCATCGATATGTTTACGCCCTTCAACAAGACCAGACAAAAATTTCAGCAAATATACAGCTGTCAAAAACGATATCAGTTAAAGTGCTGACTACCCCTACCACTACTGACCATACAGTTACTGACCATGCTTCAGGCAGGAAAGGGTTCAACCACTTATCAGGTTAATGGGTAGTTTGGTTTGAAAAAATAACTTAAGCTGCTTAAACAGATATGTTAATTGATAAAAAAAATTCAACCAAAGAGACGTTTTAAATCATTTTAACATTTAATTTGCTTTTAACAGGCCTAATCCTTGTTGATTAATCCCCATTAAGAACAAGTTATACTAATTGCCACAGCAAAAAATTGTGCACGTTCATTTCAGTTCCATTCAAAACTTTAAAAAAAACGTTGATCTATAATGGACTTTGAGACTACAACACGCAAAAACGCATCTCTGCCTAGTTGGCCTGAGGTATCGGGAAAAACATTGAAAAATGGCCTCATTAAAGGACAGTAGACGCTTAAAAACTGCAAATCAATCGGTTATTTGAATGAAGATAAAGAGTTTATTATTGAAGTTAGCGTTGTCATCTGCCAAAACAATCCAAACAACATTAAAAAAAAACTGCTAGCTAAGTGAAAAAAGCTGCCTTAACAGAAAACGTTACCCGTCCCCGTCAAAATTTATTCAGCGCTCAAGTTGAGCTTAATGTTTACGCTACAATCACGGTCCTGCTTTGCTCGACTTGGCCCAAAAATTTTCACTGACTTTGAAGTCGTTGTCCGCAATGCTATTAAAACGGTGCAATTTTTAACTGAAATTCAATTAATTCAACTTCGCCTCAAAAAGAAAAAAATCATTTGCCTGGCATTTGTTCCAACAGAATATGTGTCCGAATTCGGAGAAACACAATGAAAAGATTTGTCGGAGCCATTTCAGCAAATATGCGATAACTTCGAGATAAAAACATTAATCCAGTAAGAGGTGCATCCAAGAATGGAGATAAAAATTACTTTGTTCCATTGGAATGTTCATTTAAGGTCATCATGAAATGTCTTTGGCTGAAACGTCACTAGTATTGGCCGAAAATTCTCATTTTGAAATTCTCATCTTTGTTCGAAATGTCGTGGAACTAAGTGACGGAAGAAACTATAAATTAGCTAGTGTTTGTTCGGCCATATTTTAGGTACCTCAAGGAAAGCTCACAAAATTTCAAATGTGGTATCATATTAAATACCTATTTGTCGTGATTCATTTTTTCAAAAAAGCAAAAACGTCTCAAGGCCGGGAAAACTGGTCAAAAGATTTTTGAACTAAATTGGACAAAAATTGAAAAACTGATCTCCCTTTTACAATTTTACCGGAACTCAAACGCTACTTCTGCTATTATTACCCCTCACTCGAGCAATTTTTCATCTGATTCAGTCACTCTTTGGTTTTAATCGAGTTCACGCAAAATTATCTGGATGATTATTAAGCTGCAGCTTATCTCCAGTAAAAAAACAAAGCCAACAGACAGTTGGAAAAGAGTCATGAACAACGCAAGGAAAAAGAATAACAGACTTGGCTTTTGAAAAAAAAACTTCAATTTTTGAATTTCAACTCAAAATATATATGGCCTTATAGCCCTTGCAATTTCAAGAAGAATTTAGAATTGATACTTTTTTGATAAAATTAGTCCAATTTGAGAAACTTGATCAGAAGATTTTAAAAAAATTCTGTGGTGAAATCTGAAAATAAATTCCATTTTCGAAACTAGAAGTCGATCACGTTTTTCGTGACCATTAAACTTTTGCCGTTCGATAGTGTAGTTTGCCTTCCTTTTAACAAAGGAATGAACTGAACAGAAAAAAAATCTAAGTCAAAAAGGTAAAAAATCAAATTTGAGCCTGAACAATATTTAAAACTTTTTACTGAAAAAAAAAATTTTAGTTTCCCGTATAATTTGCTGACCTTTGAGAACTCCTGGGCGACACATCTGAGTACTGAAGAGAGCAACTTGACACACGGCTGCACAAACGAGAGCGGCAGAAGAAGGGGAGAGGCAGACTTGAACAACTCCGCTAGTGACGTCATGAAATGTTGCTTCACCACCAGGTTCTTCAGCACACGACTCAGCTGTAAATGAAAAATGATTTCGTGGGACCGACCGCCTTCATTTTCCCCTTAGCGCAAAGAGGGGGGGGGGAGGAGTTTGACTATGTTTTATATGTTTTCAACCCATTTTCTCAGCAGGAATTTCGCTCTTCATACCATACTTGGTGCCATAGGGGGAAATGGGAAAGAACGAGAAATTCAAATTAGAGAGAAAAGGATATTTTGAGTCGCACGACACAGTTTGTCATATTTGAGTCTAATTTTCTTGAATGAGACTTACTTCAACCGTTCAAATGGAGGACGTTTCCTCTGGATCAGAGAATCGAAAGGACAGCCATTTAAAGGGGAAAAGCTGAAAAGGTTTTTTATGAGTTTCGACGAAAACTAGTCACTACTCAGGTCCAAAATGCTTACACGTTTTTTTTATTATTTGTCCGTCGCAAATCTCAAAATATGAAACGAGAATGAACTGACGACTCTTGCTAGTCGCAAGAGGAAATAATCGAGCTTAACTCAAATTAAATGCTGAAACATAGCATCTAGAAGTTTTTAGTACAGCGGGCGACGTTCATAATGTTTTAGACCGAATAAGTAATAACGGCGTATACTTACAATGGCATGAGATTTGTTGAAGTAGTGACTACTGCTGATGTGATGATGCCCCCCTGAACCTCCCCCACTGCCCCCCGCTGAACCTGAAGGAGAGGCGGAGGAGGAGGGGTTGGAGAGGGAAAAGTCGGAACTGAAGATGACCTCTACTGCACTCACGAGTTCATCTAGTTCCCCACTAACCAACGGAGAGGCTAGGAAAAACAAAACATTGAACATAGCTGACAGGAAAGCTAGAGAAAGGTCAATGAACTTACAAAAAAGAATTCAAGCCAACATTTCTTCAAAATATGATCTTGTGATATAATTTCCAAGTTAGCCATTAAGTTTTAACATAGCACTATGGATCTAAAAAATCGAAGTGAGTCCAATCTACCCAAAGTTTTTCTACCCTTGGAAATAGCGCGCGTTTTTTAATAAAAACGCGCGCTATTTTCATCAGCTATGCGTAGGAAAAATGGATTAAATCATTTATCTACATGGTCTTATCTGAGCCGAATTCGTCAATTGACTCTCGACGACATTAGTATTCGCAATATTTCCTCCAGCTGAAGTACCCGCAACAAGAACGCCATCTGACATCGCAGAAGAATCACTAGAATTCTGCACTTTTGGTTGATCGTCTAAAGAGTGCACTATAGCGCGTAGCTTGTCCAATTCCTCAACCAGTGATTTCGTAGTCAGCATGAACAAAACCTAGCAACACGAAACATCACAGAACACACAAGAAAAGCTGCACCTCATTCAGAGGTTTCTAACATCTCATATAAGAGACAGGCATGTGCCTAGAAATTTAACTAAGGCATTCCATGGTCTTATTCTGTAAAATATTACAATGAGATTTTGACAACGTTTTTCAGGCCGACCAAATTGATTTTGCGGCACATCTGAAATCTACAGATGCTACTCAGACAAAACTGTGAGCAAAAATAGATTCATAATTTTTTATACTAGACCATTTTAATATCTATTATTAATAACAATTTTTTTTAAAAAAAACGTACCTCGACCAGCGAATGATGAGCTGACCTACGCACCACACACGCACACTTTCTTGCACGCCACGAGTTCAAGTATTTCACCACTAAGTGCAGATGTTCACTACTCGCAGACTCGAACTCCACTTCGACCGAATTGTCATCATTCGGGCTTGAGGAGTCATTCGGATTAGCCGAGTTGTTGGCAGCCGAGAGAGCAGTGATGCAATGGGAGAGAAGATTACAGTTAGCCACATCACAGCAACTCATTCTCGACTCAAATGTCCTTCTAGAAAGTTCTAGAAAATTTCAGCGTGAAAAGATATCTTGAAACAAAATCCTTTTGCTACATACTTTGCTTTAGTAAATCATCGTCTTATACCATATCAATCTAAAATCAATCAGATTAGTACTTGGAATTTTTCATGTTTACTTTACTCGCAAAGCAAATGCCGAAAGTTTAAGTTGACCTAATTTCCCTTGTTTTGATTACGACCCCTGGTTGATCGCATACTATCACAATATTAGTTTACGCAGAGACAAGGAACCTTTAGCAAGTGCTAATAAATCAGCCGAAAATGAGTATATGAACTAACCGAAAAAAAAACTTCATTTGTGTAGAGCTAAAAAAGGAGGGCAGTTGGGCAGAAAATTTTTTAATTTTTAAACGCAGAAGTTTTTTTTCAACAAAACCTTTGATTTACTTTTAATCCCAATAAACGCTGCGCAGGTTCCAACAAGTAAAAGCAAAGCATATGATCATACAAAGATCTAAGATTTGCTCGAGGATTTTTAAGTTGTTCTGGGTACGATTGGGAGGATTTTGATCAAGCGTTTTTTTCAGCGGGCGTGACCCTATGAAAGGTGACATGAATTAAGGGTTGGTTTGCTGAAAATGGCTGTACAATAGCACCTCTCTTTCCCTCCCCCAAATGTACCCCTACTTGACACCGTTCATTTCAAATTTTCCAATAATTCGAAACCCTCTGTCAATTTCTCCATGTCTCTTCAATCATTACCTAATTTTTTTTCCGAGATAATGACTTGGTTTTTTACAGCTCCAGTGCAGTATGCAACTACAAATTATATACACCAATTCAGCAATTCAATACACTTTTGATGCTTGAGTTTATAACTCTCCAAAAAAGGAGCTTTTACTTTTGTAAAACATAGGCAAAGCAGAGCTTCGCATCACTTGCGAGACAACGCAAGCGTAACATTGCAAGCTAACAAACAGAAAATGAGACGAAAACAAAAAATCGAAAATTGAAAACATAATTTGGACTAAATGAAAGCCAGGGTTATACACAAAGAGAAATATACAAAGTCAGTGTTAGTACATTGTTAAATTAGAGGAGTAGATATTTAGCAGTAGCAACTACAAAAAAAATTAACCATAGCAAAAAAAAGCCCTGAGGCAACTTAGTTGTCATAAAATGAGCAGACAAACAAAAAACCGACCATGCAATTTCTCTAAAACCGACCATACAAAATACCGACCCAATTTCAAGTAAAACCCGACATTGGGGTGCAAAAACACCCACGTTACCTCCAGACCGAGTAAAATGAGACTGGAAGTTGCTAAGGTTCAATAAAACAGCAAATTCAATTTTTACAGATGTTCCAATCTTGGGAAAAACATGTTTGAAATTTTTGAGATTTAGTATGATTTCGAGCGAGTTAAGCCATCTAGAACCGCTTGTTACAAAGAAATCTACTTAGTTTTGTTCAATTACTTAATTTTGTTCAATTATGTTCAATTTAGCGCTTAATTGGTAAAAAAAAACTGAATTTATAGTGCAGAAAATAAAAAAAAATTTAATTTTTTTTTTAAATTTTCTTTGTTTTTTTGTTTGTTATTCATTTTCTGAAGACAAATGTTGTAGGTCCTGCCTAATTCACTAATTTTCTACGCGATCGTATGTTTCTCAATTAAAAACAACCCTTAACTTGAAGAAACGTATAAAAAAAATCCCTTTTTTATATGGTCAGAACATTCGTGCCACTTTCACGGCAACCGGTTTTCCTTGTTTAGTTTTGTCTTCGTGTAAAGTTTCAGTCTGATTCATTAATCTACCCAATAACTTTTATGCCTTTCTTATTGGCATTGAAAGCTAGTTTTCTCATGCGATCGGCATGCTTATTCGTCCCGTACAACAAAATATCAAGGAAAGTGAAGCGTGGGCGTCTTCGAAAGCAGAAATTAGCATCATTATGACCTGTGCATCAATGCAGTAGACCGTACCACCATAAGGTCCTCGCCCCTAAGACCTTTGCGTTCGGGTGAACTTTTTTCACGCTAAATCAGGTTCTTAACTTAAAACGGGATCCAGTTCTGCCATTTAAAGTCCATGTGGCGCCAATCAACAATTAGGCGTAGTCAATTTACGAAGGTAAAGATAATGTAATCTTTTTCATTTGTTAATCAAGCTTGCATACTGTCATAATAGTCATTGCAGCTTCAGCTTACGCCAATAAGCAGAACAAAATATAAAAAATTGCCAATAGGCAGTTGGATACATGCTATTGAAATCAAAGAAACCGAACAACAAACACTTGTATTCGAGTGTATTTTTCCACGCAAAATCATGTAGAGCAAAAAATAATCATCTGAATAGATCGAGCGATATACCATATTGAAGAATTTTCAGTCGTGATTTGAACAACATTAAAACATGATTTCAAATTGATTTTTTTTAACTTTGATTAAAATCGTCCCATAAAGAAGTAATTAAGCCGGTACACGCTTTGCAGAAAACTGCTGATACTTGCTATATGCATCATCTGACACCAATGCGCACGCAACAGATTCAGTTAGTGGAAATTAAGCAAAACATTGAATTTTTGAAACAAATTTCGCGAGTGCTAATTAGCGGACTTAAAACATTTGCAATAACTAGTTTTCTATGCAAATAACTTAATTCTCTATACCTTAAGCGTATTTTTGATAATAAGGCTAGTTGCTAATCGTGAAAAACAACATTCAGAAACAATACAGATTCGCATAAATTGATTAACCTATGATTTTAAAAAAAAAACATGAGAAAGACTGTTTTTCTCAGTTGAAAATGTCTAATTTCCTTTCTCGGAACATCGCATATCTAAATTCTATTGAGGGTAGATCAATCAAAACAAAATTTGGCTGGTCCAACAAATTAAAATAAGGTTGCAATTCCTCCAAACATTGAAGGATAAAATTTCACATTTTTTCTTTGCAGCTTTTCAAAATTTTTTTTTCAAATTATACCCCTCCTCACATTCTAAAGTGCTACCAAAAAATGGTCCATAGCAAAACAGAGGATTAGAAAAAGGCAAAGCCGAGCTTTGCGCCACTTGCGATACACTACAAGAAAGCTACAAAGTCGAAAAAACCGATAAAAATTGAAAATCTCAAAACTAGATTTATCAGAAGGAATAAGGCTAGTTTTAAAAAAATACACGCCGGGACATTAGAATGGGAAACTAGCATCGATCGAAATTTTTCCAAGCGATACCACAGCCGAAAATACCTGAGCAAGAACATTTCAGGCATCAACGCAACACAAACATATCAAGAAAAACTAACCGGCAGAAAATGGGACAGAAACCGAAAAATATCAAAACAAGAAAAAAAACTGATCTATCAAAATTTTCATAACTTTGTCTTAATTTCGTTTTGAAAAAACATATATTTTGAAGGAAAACATGCCAGGTAAAACAATTGAATGTTCGAAAAGCATCGAATCAACAATTACGATGCGGTAACAAAGCAGACAATTCAATTCTTACGCAAGAAAATTGTATTTAAAAATTAGAAAAAAACAACGTTGATCAATGTTGAATTTAGAGTACTTTCGAGCTACCGCTCATCATCAGCATCTTAAAACACAAAAATATTGAGCTTGAAAAAAGCACCAAATCCAGTCAAATGAAGAAAAGAAAAAACAAACAAAAAAACACAATAAATCTATTCTGAGGCGGAAAGTATCCACACATACAGAAACAAGATTCATCATAGCTTGATGGTGAGGGGGACCCCTGCGATACTCTTCCTTGGTATTCAAAGAAGGTTTCAGTTTTTCAATATAAAGAGCGGAAACTCAAAGCCGAAAAACGAGGAAAAAAAAACAAAAACAAAATGGATATACTGACATCGGAGTTTATGAGCAAACAAAACACTAAACTCGGAAAGAAGAAGCATTTAAAAAGCAGACAGATCGAGATTACCACCAAATTCAGACATTCTGTGATCAAAGTAACTTACGGGAAAAAAAGTGTAATAACTGTTGCAACACCCTTTCTTATCGAAAGGGTAAAAAAAGACCGAAAAACTAAATCCCTCTCCCCTCACTCACATACACCGAAAGCTTTTTTCGCTCATCAAACGAGGTAATATTTGATGGCTAAGCCAAATATGGGCCGAAACCTATAAAGCCAGAAAAAAATATCCGGGAAACAATACAGAAAAAGAAGTAGTAGTAGTATAGGCTTTAAGACGATTGTCCAAAGGTTTTCATTCCTTTTTTTCATCTTGCACGAGTTTGATTTTTTTCAGGGTGTTGCAAATTCCACAAGTGCATGACTTGTCCTCGATGCATTTTTCTCGGAAGAACGTTTACGGTCCTGAAAACAAAAATTTACGGGAAAAATGTCTAGAAGCCGGTTGCAACACACTTTCTTAAGTGTAATAACAAAATGCTATTCCTAAACGAGTCCAGCGTTAGCACGACATACAAGTACACCACGATAGTGGCATGCCTTAACTATCCAGTCGGGGCAATAAAACTAGACCAGGGACGAGACAAACCACTCAAAACCGAGATAAACGTACCCAATGTCGTCAAGATTCGAGGCTCCAACAACAACAATGTTCCTTAAAAATCAACAAAAACGGTTCAACCCAGACAGGCAAAAAACAAATCAACGAAAGGGTTTCATAATATACTTCTTTGGAAATTTTGAACAATCTAACTGTTTATACGAATTTTTATTGATTGAGAATTGAAACTTCTGTTAAATTTTAGTGGATAGGCTCAAATTATATTTCAATTAACATCACCAACAATGACGGTGTGCAAATAACATGAACATTGGTTTCGATAAAACCTGCTTTCTATAGACTTGCAAGAACCAACTTCATTAGAATAAGCATACGGTTTAAAGAAAGGAATTCAAATTTTAAATATCAGACTTCATCAAAAGCTTGATAATTGAGCGGCAGGTTGACCACGATAAATTTTAATAAGCAACGGGTTAATGCCACTAGGTTTGGCGTATCTTTGAAAATCATTAGTTTTAAAAAGTAAATTTGTATCGAGTTGTGTCTGTTAAGAGTCATATCAAGTTGAACCATATTCAGTTTCTCTTGTTACAATATATTGATAAATGCGAAGACATTAGAAGATATCCTTCAAATTAGGATCTTTGAACTCGAACGTGGGAGGTTTCGTTGGATCATCAATCTTGTCGGCGGCGTACGGGTTTCGACTATAAATGTCTTTCAATTTCTTCTTCTCGTCAGTCAGCTTCGCTTCCATCACTGGGTCAGTTGGAACAGCTCCAGCTCTTAAGCAAACAAATTTAAAAGAGCAAGATAAAAAAAACATACAGCGCTGTAACCAACAACAATTTAAACCCCGTTTAAATTCATGAATTAAGTCAGTCATTCTCTTTAAGGCTCTCGCAATTGGCTCCTACGTCACTTTCGCCCAAACAACCTCATTTTATGATGTCAGTATACAGTATGTATCACAAACAAAAAAAAGAATTGAATTTCTCCAAAAATGTAAACGGCTTAATAATAATAATAATAATAATAAAAAAGGATTTAGGACTAAGGGTTCGCATAAAACCCAGTGATTGGGAGGTTCAACGTTCGTGTTTCAGTTGTTAAAGTTTAGTTTCTTCAAATCTCTACAGTTGTTGCAGCCACATAATATCCGCCACATAATAACTGACTAAAACTTTCATGAAAGTTAATAGAAAACTAAGTTTCCACAGCAAAGGCAATATCTATTAAGAAAAATATTAAGAAAAATATTAAGAATCAAAAAGACTAGTTTGAAAAAATGAACGCAGTAAAACGAAAAAAGTGCAAGAAACAATAATGAGCACTTGATTTCCGTTTCAAAAACTTTGAAAAAAATTCAGATATTTCTATCGGAAGGAGCGGCTATTTTCAGTATTGATGACAAAAACAGATATTTTGTTGAAAAAAATTCCGGAAACCTTATAGACCGTGATAAATTGAGCTTCAATTTTACTATACCGAAAAATCCAAGCTACCCACTAATTTGTCTTTTCAACCGTAGTATTAATTGAAAAAAAAATTCACCTACTTAGACTTTGTTGCATACTCCTTGATTTTATCCAGATAAATTTGTTGAATAGGGTCGCTGGCCATATATCTCGAAGCTTGCTTTCTCAGAGCAAAGCTGCATAAGTTCGAGCGTACAAAGACCTGCCTGCTTGTATTCAACATTTTATCTGAAAGCAAGATCCGAAAAAAACGTAGTGATTTGACAAATAGGCGAAGCGGAGAGCTGTACTAGTTACAATATCACGCAAGCCTAATATTGTAAGCTAGCTGACAGAATTCAGACGAAGCCAATAAGTCGATTTAAAAATCTTTAATAAAGATTAAGGAAAATCAATTTTGTTCGTTTTGTTACATTCGACCAGAATGCCGCCAAAATGCATGGCAACATCGAATTTTTATTGTGACATTCGAGTAAGAAGGTTGGCAGGTTTGATAGATTAACTGTGCTAATCGTACAATTTGACGTATCAAAAAAGGTCGGTTTGAAGTGGCGAAATAAGTTTTCAAATTCGTTCTGAAATAAAGTCACGTCACGACCTTGAAATTTCGCAGTAACTGAAAATGTCAATGGATTGAATTAAAACGTATCAGTCAGCAGATACATGAGCACGTGCAAAGATACAAAATAATGATTCAAATGCGATATATCGTAGGTATCAAAAATTGATATAGCGCATATATGTAAGTGTTCAAATATCACCAGTAGCTATTATTCGCATAAAACTCATCTCGTGTTTCAATTACTATCGCTCTGTTTTTGAGAACTTTCGTAGCTTGAATTCTCTGCACAACATCATCTTGCTTGGTGACTTCAATCTTCCTGGTGTGTGCAGGGGAAGCAACACGTCAAACAATTCTTCTGACAACACTTCATTGGACTTCCTATCTGATATGAACCTCCAGCAACTGATTGATGAACCCACCCATCGTTGCGGCAATATCCTCGACCTGGTATTTTGTGTGGATGATCTCGACTGTAATGTGATTCGTTACGGTCATCAGCTCTCTGACCACTACCCGGTGACTTTCAGTCTCTCAATAGACACGCCCAGCCGCCCACCTGTTCTCTGTTTCTCACGCAGTCAGTTTGATGGCAACCTGTTTGCTTTCAACCTCTCGAATCTGTATTCCTATATCTTCTCCAGCATTGTCCACTGTGCCTCTTTCTGTCATGATTGGCAGCTGTTGTTCGGTCAAGCTCTCGATCTCTCGCTTCCCAGAAAGCGACGCAAACGTGTTGATTCTCCCTACTACTACTCCTCTCTCACGATGCATGTCGCAAACCAAAAGAACATTGCAGATCGAGCTTTGCAGAAGGCGTGGAGCCTTCCTGCTGTGCTCAAATGCAGATCTTTGGCAAATGAGCTCACCTGTTCAATTGATGCTGATAAACCAGGCCTTTTGGAATCACTCTCATCGGCAGACACCAGCCAATGTTTCAAATTCCTACGCCTGCTGTCAAATTCCTCGCCTATCCCTGCTGTCATGCAATGGAACATCGCGAAGCCAGTTGCAACGCTTCCATAGCGAACCTATTTAATGACTATTTTTGTTCTGTCTATAAACCTGCTGTCACGCAGCGCCTCGGGTCTGCTACTGATACCCTTACGCCTATCTGTCTTGATGACCTAACAATCTCCGTTGACGGCATCGAGAATCTGCTTCAATCGTGTGATGACTCAAGTGCACATGGATGTGACAACATTCCTTCGTTCGTCTTGCGTAACTGTTCTCGTTTCACATCTACTGCTGTGTACTACCTGTTTCTCCACATTCTGTCAGTGGCGGAGTGGCCTGAGTTCTGGAAGACATCGCACGTCACTCCTTTGCTCAAATCTGTTGCTCGTCGACTAGTTGTCAACTACCGTCCAATCAGCATCCTTCCGAAACTCTCTTTGGTACTCGAGCGGCTTATATTCAATTTTGTGTATCCACGGATACGCCACAAAATCTCTCGGCAACAATTTGGATTCATGACTCGTCGTTGCACCGTCACTCAACTCATCGCATATCTTGATCTCCTTTACAACAATTTTGATGGCAACATTCCAACTTCCGTTGTTTATTTTGACATAAAGAAGGCCTTTGACTCCGTTCCGCATTCGGAGATTCTTATGAAACTCTCTAATCTTGGGTTTGACGAGAGGTTTACTCTTTTATTCCAGTCCTATCTTGAAAACAGACACCAGGTTGTGAAGGTTGCCAACCATTTGTCTGATCGTAAGCCTGTCTCTTCCGGCGTACCCCAGGGCAGTGTCCTAGGTCCACTTCTTTTCGTCATTTACCTTAACGATATCTGCGACTGCATTCAGAACTCTGATTACTTTCTGTTCGCTGACGATCTAAAGATTTGTAACAGTACTGGCAGTGCTGATGTCCAAGCTGATATTAGCTCACTCCATCAGTGGACAACACTCAACGGCCTCGAGTTCCACAATGACAAGACTAAACTGCTGCTGGTCTGCAGCTCTGATGTTAATCTGGAACTTGGTGGCTGTCCAATCATCGAAGGGTCTGAGATCAAGGATCTCGGAGTCATAATCCAGGGTGACCTCAAATGGCATTCACGCGCGCTCAAAACGCTGGCCAAAAAAGGTAAAATGCTTCAGTTTATTCGTCGTGCTATCCCGTATCATACAACTCGCTTTGCGAAGCTGAATCTATACCGATCATGTGTCCTGTCTGTACTGCTCTATAGCTCTCCCGTCTGGTCACCTGACCGCCTAAATTTGAGACGCCTCGAGCGTTTCCAAAGTCGTGCTCTGAGGTGAATAACTGGAATCGATTACTATACTGCCAATATCCGTAGCCTCGATATTCTCCCTATTTGTTTTCAAATTATTGTTATCGACATGATTCTCTTCTGGAAAATCGTTAACAAGCAGACTGACATTAATCCTGATGACTATGTAGTACTCGCGTCGCAGTCTGATGTTTCAACCCGTCTGGCGCCCAGTATGGTGTTTAGGCAAAGGAAGACCAGGAAGTTCCAGTGCGACCGCAACTTCTTCGCCCGCTCGGCTACAAACGCCAATCTTCTATCCGCATGTGGTGTCAATTTCGAGAGTTCCCTACATCCGTTCAAGAAGAACCTGCATCGCGTCTTCTCGATCGTCTTGCGGGATTTGACGTCTCCAACCCATTCACATACTACCTTAAATGTAACTGTTCCCTCTGTCGGTGCTAATATAATCTCAAAACAACTATTCTGTTATAATCTCGATGAGATTTAAGTCTTTTACTACTACTACTACTACTACTACTACTACTACTACTACTACTACTACTACTACTACTACTACTACTACTACTACTACTACCACCACTACTACTACTACTACTACTACAACTGCTACTACTACTACTACTACTACTATTAATAATAAAAATAATAAATTTTCATTCCGATTCATCACATCAGCTGAATGTAAAAAAAAACATAGTTTAAATTGTCGAAAGGCACCAGGTTCATCCAAAATTCCAGCCTGGGCATTGAAGGATGGCTGCAATGAAATATACACACATCTGACATTTCTATACAATGAGTTTTTGAAAAACAAGACTTATCCTTGCAAGCTCAAGAAAACAATTGTCACACCAATATACAAAAAAGAGGATCCAGAACTACCAGAAAATTATAGGCCTTTCTCTATAACCGGTGCTCTCTCAAAAGTTGTTGAAAAATTGTTATATAAACAAATCAACGAATATCTGATATCCCAAAAATTTTTAACTAATACCCAACCTGGGTTCAGAACATCATATTGAACAATCGACGCTATTCTTTATTGCACTGAAGCATTCAGAAAAGCAATAGACAACGTGACATTCGCCCGGAAGTACAAATCGACGGAAAATAAAACTAAGCTATAAAACGACTGGCCAGCGTCAAAACAAAGCTCTACATGCTTTTCACCGTCTCCACCAAAGCCAGTTCAATTGGTGGTCTTTCTGACATCGGGTCGACAAAAACGTTACTGCTTTCGGCTTCGGTCAAAACACTCAAATTAACTTTATTATATGCAAGAATAGTGAGCTCATGGCTGGGTCTCAGTATCCCCAGACCACGAGGTCACTCCTAAAAACAGGGCTACTACTATTTATTATGTTACTATTGTTTTTGTTCAGTAGATAAAAATCATCATCTCCATCGAAGATCGATCAACCCTTTCCCTCAACTCCTAGCTTCTCATTATCTGAAACGGAATCTGGATGTTAAATAAACTCAATTCAAGACATAACCAGGAAGCTAAAAGTTTATGTAAAATAGTTTGAGTTCTCCGCCCGAGACCCCTCTGGATTCCTGAATACGGAGAAATAGCGTCCTTATTTCCTTTCCGGAAGGCTGGACACACGCTGTCCCAATACCCTTCACCGTTTGCGTGAATCGCTCTGTAAAGATTGTAGTGACTCAATCGTTACAACTCGGAGCGGTCTCTGATAATCTGAATTCTCTGTTTTCTGATTCGCTATTTCCTTCGTTGTTATTTCTACGGCAACTATTGATGTTGTGTTTTTCTTCTGTTTTTTCTCCAGAATGGCCGTTTCAGCATTTCTCAGAAAGGTGACGTCATCTCTCAAGGTTTCAAAAATTTCCAGAATATTCTGACCTTCACAGTTTGTCTAATCGTTCAAATAACGTCGCTAATCTGCTAAAACCGTTAATCTTCCAGGTTAGCTGCTATGAATTCGAAATGGTATTTTTGTCCATTCTGGTCGAATGTCACATACGCCCCGGACAGCCCGGTCAATGTCCTCCTTGAGTCTCGAAATCTTCATCGAAATGGTACAGTGCCATCGAACAGAATTAACAAAAAGCACGAAATCACCTTTATCCACGTCACATCGACTCACTGCAGAATATAAATGGCATCATACTACATCACTATAACCTTCCAAAATCTTTCACTAATCTGCACTTTCGAGGATATGACTTAAGATAAAAAACATCTTTTTAGACTTCTAACGTCTATGTCCCGATATAAAACTTCCCGATTTATCCTAGGTTTAAAAAGTGTAGGAGCGCAGGACAGTCCTGCCAACCCACAAACTAAAATTATCCTCCTATGTTTCTACCCTTCGAAAATTTAGTTGTTTTTGGTCCTAAATATTAAAACTAAGGAACTCTGTGGTTAGAAGGAACAATGAAATAATCTCCCTCTTT